CCAGGGAGCAAACTCCTGCTGTGGAGGCTTCGGACAGCTTCACAGTGTGGTGCTTAATCCCTTACACCACCAGAGAGACCCGGGGCTATTTTTCTAGCCTGTGTAAGTCATGACTAGGATTCTTCTCTGAGCCTGTGGAAACTTCTTCAGAGACTAGTGTTCTAATGTTCCAAGTGTGCCTCTTCCTCTCCTTCTAGAGTTTGCTTTTATCACATGTGCTGTTGCATTCAACTTTAGATCTTGTTTAAATTAAAGTGACTGCTAAATGATTGTATTGACAGTCTTCCCATTAGAAGTTAAAAATCTGGAGGTGTTCAGAGGTCTCTGTGCATCTCTTCTCACAATCCAGAAGCTTCTGTGTGTTGTGTGTTCTTGGTATTGGCAGAGAAGGTTTCCACACAGCAATTCCTATTTCTTCCATTGGAGCAGAAGGAATGTGAGGGAAAGTTGCAGCCATGAGGCTCAGAGACCCCTCCCTCTTGCCTCCTTTGTGATAAATGGAGAGGGGAGGATCAGGCTGCTTTGCAATCAATTGTGGAACATCTTTAAATATCAAGAATAAATAGTCCAGATGAACTCTGCTAAGGTACAATTTGTGGTCAGTTGCCCTTCCACCTCCCAATCGAGTAATTCTAGTTTCCAGCTGCCTAAAACAATGATTCCACCATGATCTTTGTTCATTAGAACATAGTTTCAAGCTGAGATCTCCACACCAGGGCTATTCAGTTTCAATTCCAGCCCAGCCTCAAACTCTGAAACTTTGGGCAACTTTTTTTAACCACTCTTTGTTTCAGCTTCCCTTTCAAAGAAAAGGAAATAATCTACATTGTAGAGTTGTTTGGAGTGAGAATTGGTCAACCTGATTATCCAAGATTTTAAATTCACAAATTGCCACAGATTTATTATTCATTCTCCTTGTATAAACTGCATTATTTAGAAAAGACACATAGGTGGCTAAAATAGTAGCATTTCAGACAGACTTTTAGATAATTGTGATTAAATATATTTAAGAAAATAGCTGACGAGTTGGAGAATTTCACCTGACAACTGGAGTCCAATAAGAAGAATTAAGCGGAAATCCTAGATTGGAAAACTGCTACCAAAATTAAGAACTCAATAGATAGTTTTCACAGCAGATTGGACACAACTAAAGAGAGAAGTAATGAGCTGAAACTAGGTCAATAGGAAAATCCAGACTGAATTATACTGAGTAAAAAGAATGGCAGATGCCGAAAAAAGCATAAAAGACATATGGCTCATGGTGAAAAGGTTTAACATTGGGGAATAAGAGGGGGATAGAGGGAAAATGGAGCAGAAGCAGTATTTGAAGAGGTATTGGCTGAGGATTTCCCAAGACTGATAAAGGATACCCGGTGACAGGTTTAATAGGTATTATATACTTCAGACTGGGTAAATTAGAAGAATTTCATATTGAGCCACAATAGAGCAAAACTGCTGAAAACCAAATGCAAAGAGACAATTCTTAAAATAAGCTGTAAATAAAACTGTCATTTTAAACATTTAAAACCCACCGTCAGCACTTCTATTCAACCTTGTGTGAAGAGCCTATATGGAAAATAGTCTGGCGATTCCTTAGAGAACTCAAAGAGAAAATACCATATGGTCCAGCAATAACACTCCCAGGTATGCACCCAAGAAATATTAAAACACTCACAAGACTTCTGCACCCCTGTGTTTATAGCAGCATATTCACAGTGGCCAAGACATGGAATCAACCTAATATCCACTGACAGATGACTAGATGAAGAAATTGTGGAATATACTCAATGAAATACTACTCAGCTATTTAAAAAGATGAAATAGTACCTTTTGGAACAAAATGAATGGATCTGTGCAAGATGAAATAAGTCAAAAAATTACAGACACTTACCCGCTGGTTTCACTCATTTGTGGAATATAAATAACAAAAGAAAGCAGAGGCTAGAAACAGATTCACACATAGACAGTTAATTTACAGCAAGTCACTCACTGTTTTCCAGCCTTAGTTCCCTCATTTATAAAATAGGCTGAATCATAGTGCCTACCATATAAGATTTAAGTATTATATATCAAAAGGATGTAGATATTATTGATATATTAAATAGGTTAGCACCTATACAAGGTATATAGCAAGTTCTTAATAAAATTTAGCTAGAATTAATATTGCCACTGTGACTGCTATCATTCCACTATTACTGCTGCTGCTGCTGCTGCTACTACTACCACTACTATTACTACTACTGCTACTACTACTACTAATCCTTTTCTTGGTTTTTCAATATGATCACCTGTAAGTGGTGGATATTAAGTCCTGGTTGGCTACAAGAAACATTTAGGATAACACAGAAGAACAGGATTGTGTCAATTCTTAGTCTGCCTAGAAAAAAATTCGTAGGAGCAGGGAGATAAAGCTCACCTCTAAGTCAAGATTGATTTAGAAACTGGAATAGGACTTGTCCTACCGCTGATGTTATTATGTACACACAACTGTGAGACCTTAGAAACTAAGAATCTAAACTAGACTTGTGTGTATACATGTTTGTATTGAATATTTGAGAATATATAAGCCATTTATGAAAACACCGTGTAGAAATGAAGTCAGCTACCTACCTTCTCCCATCTGAATCACAGCCGAATCACCTGAGAGAGAAGTTTAAACAAAATAGTAAAAGATTTGGTTATGTAATTTTGAGGGAAAAGTTGATTTCATAGCATCTGTGGGTGAACCTAGAAGTTCATTTTATAACATAGGTCGCAGAGGCACTGAGGACAGGGAGATAATGATATGTTTCATTTCCCTTCATGGTTCCTAAAACAGTGTCACTCATTTCATAGAGCAGGTTGCCGCTACGCCATGTCTTGTAGTACTTAGCTGAAAGCTTACCCATTACTCTGATGATGTAATATTTTCCGCCCTCCCATATCCTAGCCCACATGGCAGTCCATCCTGTCTTCCTCTTCCACTGACCCCATCCCTCCTCCACCCCAGGTAGCTCGCGGGAAGTATTACTTGAAGATCTTCTGCCACTTTAAAGCAGTTCAGCTGCCTGACTTGGGGTTGTATTAGCAGATCTGAATTCAGTTTCTCACTCCACTACTTCTATTTGGATGACTTTAGATAAGGTGATCTACCCCGAGAGTTTCATCTGTAGCAAGATGTTGGTGAAGGGATAGGAAGGTAATTTCTCACAGTTTTTTAATCCCAGTAAAGGGTGGTGATAGTGACCGTGACGGTGGTGGTGGTAAAGATGGTGCTTGCCTAAGATCATGCAACCAGGTGGCTGACATCCAAGGCTTGGTTTTTTTTTTGGGTTTTTTTTTTTTTATAGAGGCATGTTTTATTTATTTATTTGTTTGTTTGTTTTGTTTATACATGCACTGGGTACAGTCAGAAGCACGGGAGGGTGAGAGAATTCAGCAGAGCCAGAGCGGGGAGCAGAGCAGGCAGAAGGACCGAAGTACACTGCTGAGGGGAGCAGCGGGCGGCAGGAGAGGTCTGCGCACTATGCGGGACCCTCCTCCGGTGGGCGGGGAGCAGCCGGGGATCGAACCAGCTCCGCAGAGGCCCCGGGCAGCTTCGCAACCCAGCGCTCAACCGCTGAGCCACCGGGGAGGCCCCAAGGCTTGTTTTTTTAACTTAAGTCTTATACGTTGTCACCTGCCGCCCATGATTTGGTAAATTACATGAGAGGATTTGGTGCTTAATGTTCCCAGTTACTTCTAGGTACTGGGGTCCAGCCACGGCATTTCTGTAGTTCAGTTCAGAGGCACCTGCTGGAGGGTCTTTCCCTCAGCTCTGCCTTTTCTCTCTTGCACTTTCTAGTGAAAGGGGCGGGAAGAAGAGGCTGTCTCTCACTCTTGGGAGTGCCTGCTTGCCTGGCCTGCTGGAAATGAGCCCGCCTGGCCTGTCTGATGGAGGGTGTGTGATTCTGCCTGCCCATGAGCAGCCTCCTTGGGAATCCCTTCCCTGAGATAAGTTAGCTTCCAAGATCAAGTAAGGAGCAGTTGGCTTCTGCTGCTTCCTCTCCCTGCAGTTCCTCCCTGCCTGTGCCTGCCAGCACCTCATGGCCAGGTGAAGTCTGCACTTCCTCCATGTCCACCCCTTCAGCCGAAAGGCCATCATTGTTGAGTATCTGCCAACTCAAGCTGCTCGTGGGCATGAGACCCAGCAGATGCGCTGATACACATATCCCCCACTTCCTCTGAAGTCCTAAAGCATTTGTAGTTCCTATCAGCAGTTCTAATTCTCGTCACGTCTTTGTTTTAGAGGTATGTTTCTTTCTTCCAGGTCGATTGTAAGCTGAAAAACAGACAAAAACCTTTCCTGGTTATTTCTCTTCTCAACCTTCATGTTACTTAGAAAGTGTGGTTGACAAGGCTTGTTGGGGTAAAACTGATAGTGAAAGTTCATCAGGAGAAAGGCCCTTCCAGTTAAAATTTCTTTAAAAAAAAATATTTATTTTTTTTTGCATAGAAGAACTGGAATGTAGGCCAGAGGTACAGGAGGGGAAAGGATTTACCAGATACAGTGTGGGGAGCAGAGCAGGCAGATTTACTGAAATACACTGCTGAGGGGAACAGCGGATGAGACAGGAGAGGTCGGCTGTGCCTTATGTGGGCTAGCTCCCTGGCTGGGGATCAAACTCAGGCCTCAGTGGTTATAACGCTGAGACTTAACCCTTAGGCCACCAGGGAAGCCCCCAGTTAAAATTTCTGCAGTGCCTCCTGTCCTGGGTTCTCAGCAGATGAATGTTGCTGAGTTCTCCCCGTGTATGGCTCTGCACTGTTTTGATGGAGACCTGCTCCCTTATTCTTGTGGAACCTTCTCTCTATCCAGGTACTTGGTGGACCCTTTACTGGAAAGGACACGGTGCCAAAAACCCTTCTGAATGAGACAGGGGGTATGGGTGGAGTCCCCAAAATCAGGAAGAACAGGAAACTGAATTGGCAAAAGTAATTTTATCACCCTAATTAAATGAAGCACGTGATTTGCATTCCAGGTCCTTCAACTATTCTATGGGAACCCGTGCATTTTCCCATGACAGTATTTTTATCCCTGATGGGGGAGCAGAAAGTGAGCAGACAGTTCAAGCAATGTCACAGGACAACATCCTGGGCAAAGTCAAAACTCTTCAGGTAAGACAGCTTGAGATGACGAGGCCAGAGCCGCAGGAGGGGGCCCGGCTGTGGAGGGAAGAGGGAAAGTTCCTAATTTGGCCTTGAGCCTGGGAAGTCTGGGGGTGGCGCCCATGAGAATTCTTGCTTTCTGAAACCTTACTCAGCTCCTTGGAAGCCTTCTGTCCACCTGCGAGAGGTGCCGTGTCACCACTGTACCCACCTGCATCACACCCTCTCTCCTTTTCTCTCAGATTGTTCCCTCATTTCCAAGTGACCATCATGAGAACAAGTACCCAAGAGAAGCTGCAGGATTTGGGTGGGAGGAAAAAGCTCCTAAGTACTAAGCTTTGACTGTTAGCCCTGAAGGCAGACCTGTCTGTCAGGTGGGAGTCCTGTAGCACAGCATTCACTGTCTAGGTCTCCCTGCTTGGACCGTGAGTGGTGAGACTCTTTATTGCTCTGCTGTGTTTGTAAATCTGCTCCCCACCCCGGCCACCTTTTCTCCAAGGTAAAGCTCTTGAGCTTCCCTCCTCTTCACACTGAAGAATTGGGCATTTTTCCTACATGAACTGACTCAGATGGTAACTCTAGTAATGAAAATATACTAAAAGAATTCTGCACTAAATGTGATTGAAATAACAGGGAGTCCAGGAGATGCAAGGGAAGCAAAGACCTGGGATCTGACTCTGGGAATTGATCACTCTGAGGAAATCCCTCAATTGAGAGAAGTGCTTCCGCAAGCACTGCTCAGAGGCAGAGAGCTTAGAGGGGATCCAGATTATAAATGGGGGACTCTGGTTTGCTGGTTTCCATCTGCCTGTAGGTCCACAACAATAAATGAATAAATGGATGGATGAATGAATGAGCAAAAAAGGACAGCTGACTTGAGTAGCTACTGACACAGATGAGGCATTGTACTCAAAGACAGTTTTCTATTTTCTTGAAAGAGTCTTTTTTCTGCTGAACATTCTCTATGGTTGCTGAGTCTGTGTAGGGTCACCTATTCCCACATGCGCTCAGCTGAATATACTATATGGCAAGTGGGGGAACAGCCCACACCCCGGAACCATACCCAAACATGCCTAGATCTTACAGCTTTGCCCCTGCTTGAGGCCACAGGCCTGCGCTCGGGGCTCACCCAGGCACGGCCTTCACCTGCCAACATTTCCTAAGCAGCTTCCATTCGTGGGAACAGCTGACTGTGCTGTTAACACATTCTATAGACTCAGAAGAAAAAGCAAGGTGTCACGTCTCCTAGAATGGAGAAAGGGGAAGGGTGGTGATGCCATACAAACCTTTGACCCACCTCCTTCTTACCTTTCCTTCTTAAGGTCTTTTGATTTCTGAATTATTACTCCTGAGAAGTTCTGAAACCTTAGTTCATAATATCCCTTTGTCTAAGAGGAGTGACGTGCTGTGGATTTCATTCCATGAAGCAGCTGTATTTTACACAGGCTTTCAACAAGAGCTGGACAGATTTTCCAATTTGATAATGGTCTGTTGTCTATAACACCACACCAAGTGCCACTGGCCCCCCAGAGGTGGCTTTGGAGTTATAAAATATAGCAACTACTGCAGTATTGGAGACAGAGAAACTCAGTAAGAAATATGAGTACCTGCTAGTCCTATTCATAGTAGCACGATTTTTAAAATCTGACCTCCTAATGAATGAAATGTTCAGTAACCAACTTTCCTGACACAGAGTTTGTGTTAACACAGGAATTGTGTGAGTCAAGCAGGAATAATGTGAGTATAACACAGGGGACGTGTGGTAAGGCAGAACAGCCATCCCATTTGAGTGTTCTGCTTTGAACAGTATCTACTCATGTAAGCTCTGCCTGTGGCATGGACTCGCAGGCTTATTGCGCTGCGGTTACAGATTTTAAAATGTAACGTAAAAGGCTGTGCTCTTCAAGGAGGGACATGGGGACCATTTTCATAGAAAATGTGATTTTTGGAGTGACATGAGAAATAACTGTATCACCCCCAAAAGACTGTGCTTTATTTTTCAGTCGACTAAGCAGTATGTTCCTGGTAAGTGGCTAGAAATAGTAGCTCACTTTATTAACTTGCATGAATGCTTCGCATTTTTCCATGACAACGTTATGCTGGTATTGATGCTTAGTAAGCAGCATAAAAGACCGCCCCCTCGTAGGCTCCAGCATGGAATGAGGGTGTTTAGTTACATCAGAGGCATGTATGTTTTTGTATGTCTAAAATTGTCTTTGTGTATGTGTGTGTGTATTTATTAAAAAGAGAGGAAGGTGATAGATAACGCCTACTTAAGAGTAAATGTTCTGGCAAGCTAGCCATCATTATGAAGACATTCTTTTGAAATGAGATGTCTGCTGGAATGCTACTTAAGAAAAAAAGAAAAAGTCATTTTTCTCTTGCTTAAAAAACTTCTCAGTCCTTGGAAACCCGAGGAAGGGCGCGGGGCTCCACTGCGTTTGGAAAGGTCGCCCTCTAGTGCCCACACACAGTCATTTCCCCAGAACGAGAACTGTCTGTGGCACCCCAGCTCTTACTATCTCCCTACTGAGTATTGAATGACTGAAAAATAGCATTGAAAAGCCTCCACTTTTCTGAACAGAATGAAGCTACCGTCTGCCAAATTTTCCATGGCAAATAACTGAAACTTTAAAGGAAAAATTGCATTATTTTCCGAGTCTAAAAACTATACATGCGCAAATGAGAACAAATTTTCATTTACAGAAAATTTACAGGGACAGCGGTGGCCTCCTTGAGGACTCCTTACAGGCCAGTTAGTTGTTCCATGACCGGTGCCTGACATGAAAAGCCATGCCAGGCCTCCACCACCACCTGGCGACCTGACCTCAGGTGAAGTCATCTCACCCCTCTGAACCTCATTTTCCCCAGCTGAGCAATAAGGGGCCGTGTGTGATGGACAATCTGAAGGGCCGCCCTTCCTGTTCCTAAATGAGCCGTCTGTCCAGAAGGACTCTCTGTTCACCTGCCCTGGCCAGGGTGACTGTCAGGTCCGCGTTTTGTTGCATTTGGGCTGTAACAACCTTGGCGTTCTCATGGCTGTCCAGAGCACGGCTCAGGGAGGGTGCCTGTTTATTTGAGATCAGACCAGGCTGTAAATGAGAAACCAACTTATGCTAAAATTCAGGAGTAGCACAAGCTAAGCCTGCAGGTAATTGTTAGAATCATACCTGCCTTTGTTGGGAAATGCTTAGCCCATTAGCCCACGGGCTTTTTAGCTCAGGAGGGAAACTTCCATCCTTGATAGTTACTCTCTGCTGCTGGGCTGTATTTCACTTAAAAAAATGCCCAAGTCCTACAGTTGAGGCTTTGGCACCTCATGCAGCTGTCAAGGACACAGAACACCCACTCTTAGCCACCTCTTTCTAGAGCAGATGTCCTTCAATCTGTCTGCTTTGTTCTTTTGATTAAAAAAAAATCGTTTTAACAAAGGGAGTATCTGTGTTTCACTCAACAAGACAGCAATTTCATTTTTCCTCTGCTTTGTTCTTACAGACATGGTCTGAAGAATGCTGTGAAAAATCTGGGGAAATCTAAACACTGGCAGTATGAGAGCTGCAGAATAATACCATGTGCTTGGAATTCCCACACTATACGAAAGGCCGCCTACATAGGATATGCCTTCCCTCCCATCATTCTCCAGCATTCCATGTTGCAACGATGTGGCCCAGTTCAAATGAATAAAATCCAGTCCCTTTTAGCTGACATTCCAATCTCAACAGTAACTCCATTCACAGCCACAGCCACATGGGCTCTCGGTATAGATACAGCATTCCACACTCCCCAACACCCCCCAGCCCGAATCATATTTGCAGTGTATACAAAAAGCCAATAGTATTAAAAGATAAAGTTAAAAAGGTAAAGGGGTGAAAGTTTATGTCCCTGGAGACTTAAGGGCAAGTTCGTCTTAATTCTGGTTTCCAGTGGTTTCTTCTATCAAAATTTCTGTTATCACCATGCCTGCCTAATGGGCAGAATGAAAGTCACAAAAAAAGCTACATTTATCCTCGTATTCAATTCACACGATACCTGAGATTGCTAAAGAGGTTCGAGTAGTTACCTTTTAATTGTCGATAAACTGCACAAATATTGAGACAGCCCAATCTCAAGGTCAGCAGAAGGAGTGTTTGGAGCAGGAAGGCAGGGAAAGGGAGAGCAGGTGCCTGGGGAACCTGAGGGTCAGCCACTGTGGCCCTGGACCCTAAATCCTGCCCTGGCCTTGTTCCACTGTCTCTCCCTGACATCTGCAGGGTGTGTCCACAGGGGTGTCCTTTGTCTGGACAGAGAGGTTGCAGCCCTATCCCTAAATGGTGCCATCATTTCCTTGGTATCCTGGGTGGGCCTTCTCCTCCAGCCTGCTTCCTCCTCCTAAGCTACCTTGCACCAGCCTCAGTTTATTTTCTCTAGAAAATTTATTTTCTCTATTAAAACCAGCGACTCTGTGGACTCACGCATTGGCATTCTCAAAGACAGTGCCACTGTTTCTTTTGCCAGGGTGAATATACCTGTGGCATCAGCCAACCCTTTGATGTGCACACACATTCTCCTTCCTGCCCACCCTCTCCTCCTCCCACTTATCTCACCCCTGCCCTTCCCCCTCCCCCCAGCTGTTGTACCTGCTGTCTGAGCTGCAGCCTCCCCAGGCCCTTTTACTCTTCCTCTCTGTGCCTTTCCTCTGTGCCCTGCACCTGTCTCCATTGAGCAGTTTTCTTTACTCTCTACATTTCCTTTTAAAAAAAATTGATTTAAAAAGCATCCATTTACCCTTCATTTACAAAACTATATAAAACTGGGACTATAGCTTCCCACCTCAACATGCGCCTTGCTCACCCTCCACCAAAGCCCCAGCCACTGCCCTACCACCTTCCCTCCTCGGCCCCCCTCACCCCCAGAGCCACCATATTTTGCACAGCATCTGAGAGCTATTTTTGTCATGTTTTTCAGTTTGTTTTCTTTGGTTATTTATACTCCACCACTGTCCACTGCATTTCTTAGCAGCCTTCTTCTCTTCCCCGGCTGTGTCCCAGGTGCTTACTTTCCCTGTTCTTCCTGTTTATGCCCCACCCCCCATGTTCTCTTTCCTTTTCCACTCGTGGCCATGACAGCCATCCCATCTTTCAAATTGAATTTCAATCTAGATTTTGATGACATTTTGCCACATTCTTTTTTTGTCTCGTCAGCATTGGGGTGGACCACATTTTCTAAAAAGTGCCCTCATGAAGAACAATGTTAAACATTTTCTTTCTGTGTTGTGATGGCGACCAAAGTCCTAACTAAATGGCATTGAGTATTGAGCTTCTCCTTGGAGTTCATTGGAGAATTACTCGCCATCACGAGCAGAAACACTCATCTCAGCCATTCAGGGGTATTGGTAGGATGGCAGCCCCAGGCAGCAGGTGGTCTCGGTCAAGGGAGACTTCGAACAATTTCTAATTCTAGGCCCACACTCCTAGAGAAGGGAGAACTTGGTAAACCAAAGGCTGGGCTGGGAATCCAGAGGAAACTATAAGGCTCTCACTGGGACGCAGGAGCCATTCCTAGTCTTCTGCCAGGTTCTCATCCCTGTCCCTCGGGCAGCAGCGAGACGGGCCTGTGACTTTGCCGTGTCCTCTTGTCTAACGCCATCAGCTGTTCTAACCGTGCCTGCTTATTGATCTGCATAGCGTAGATACTAACTGCCGCTTCCTGCTAAACTTGTTTTTATCTGACACCTTTTTTTAGTCTTCTCCTCCCCGAAACCCTTTTCGGCTGCTCAAGCTGTACTTCACTGGCTGAACTTGGGCTTTGGATGTGTGCGCCTTCCTGTGGTGCCAGGGTTGCAGGCGCAGGCTGACACAGCAGCAGAGCCAATCAAAGTCCGTGTCTCTCTGTGCTCCTGACTTGGCATGCCAGGGGTGCCCGGACGCGGGGAGGGCGGCTGCGTGGGGAGCGGTCTTGGGCGCATCTCTCATGTCTCTGCCATCTCACCGTCCACCTTGCAAGGCTGAGGGGGAACTGGGTGCGGGTGGGTGGATTTGGTGCTCTTGAGGCCAGAGGGAAAAAGAGCACTTCCCTTAAGGGATCCCTCTGCCGGGCACTTCAGCGAGCTATGAAAAATGCTGCACCATCTCTTTATTTCCACCCCGACAAGAAGGAAATACAACATCCCATTTATGAGAACCCATGGAGAGCAATGAAAATAACCCTGAATGTGGTTTTATTATAGAAGCCCTGGATTCGAATTACTCCTTCGGGGCCACTCACTCTTCGCATAGGGTTGGCCCGCCGCTCCTTCCCCTGGACCTCTGGCTTTTTTTTAGTAAAGTAAGAGGGTTTAGATGTATGATTGCTAAGGCTCTTTGCAGCTCTGTATGATTAAATATTAGCCAGATGAAAGATAGCTATCAGATCACGTGTTTTCTTTCTTTCTTTCTTTCTTTTGAGGCATAAAAGGAATATTAAAACTAAATATGGATTTGAACACCCCCCTCCCACGCTCCTCCCCTGGACAGTTGTGGTTGCCTGGAGCGGGGGAAGAGGCCTTACTACTAGCATAGCATGAAGTGTCCCCAGGCCAGGAGTGCAGCTGAACCTCCTTCCAGTGCTCCCCACAACAAAGAACAACCCCGCCGCAGTGCAGGCAGAGCCAAGGCCGAGAAACCCTGATTTGGTTAAAGGCAGTAACATGTTCAGTTCCATATTTGTCTGCTTTTCCTTGCTGAATGTCATTCATTTTCTCTACCAGAGCCCATTAGATATTTGGCCCCTCCTTTAGCTGTTGTGTTTATGTATTTTCCTTCAGGGAATCTATTTCCTTTCTGATCTGGCCTTTCTCTTAATTCCAAATACTGTTTATCTTCCTAATTTTCACCCGGTTTTCCCCTCCCTTCTGCCTGGTGTTTGAAGGACCATCTGCTAGAATCAGTCCCCTCCTGGCTTTCCTCCTCCACCCTTCTCCGTCCCTTCCCCTGACTTCACAGTGCATAGTTGCTGCAGCAAGACCAGGAGAAAGTTCTAGAAACAGGACAAAGTGGTTCCTGTCCCTCCCATGATTTTGCATTCATCACAGAATGACTTGCTAGCCCTGGGGCTTTTTTCGCCTTGGCAGGGGTACCCGCTGACCAAAACGTGATGTTCACGCTGGGGATGGGTGAGGACAGCCGCTGAAGTATAAATATTCAAGGGGGATGTGTCGAAAGGGGCCGGAGGTGCCCTGGTTGCAGCAACTACAAGGGTCTTGGTTTCCCTGTGGTTCCTGCGTTTTATGTTAACGATTTTCTGTACAAATTTATACTTTTGAAAAGGCTTTTTATGGTTAGAGGACAGTCAAAAAAATTTTTGTCATAACCTGTTTCCCAACTTTTGGTTCAGAAATACAGTCTCTGTACCACAAGAATATGTGGGCATCTTCCATGTAAGAGGTAACTGAGTGGAAAAGTTCAGAGCTCAGAGGTGGAAAAGAAAGAAAAAAAACAAATTCGCTGATGAGGACCGCATCATGGGTTGCTGGCATGGTGTTTAATCTCGCAACCAGTTGTGTTCAGAATGCACCTCCGTGCCTGCCAGACACACCAGCCCCCTGCCTGTGGGTCTCGTGGGCTGCCTCACGGCTTCAGAACGACTTTCTTTTCTCTCCAGCGACAGTTGGGCAAGAACATCAAGTTTGGGCAGCCACCACCCAATGCCATTCCCATGAAGAAGGCAGACAGTGGGGAGGTGAGCTTAGAAGAGGACCTGTTGCCCCCCAGTCCCATGGAAATTGTGACTCAGCAGGACATCGTCCTCTCAGACACGGAGAACAAGGTAAGTTTCCTCCAGGGATAGCTCCTTTGCCAATCTAGGGGAGAGTGGGGGTGTCCAGACACCCTGGTTCTCAGCCAGGAATAAGGTGGGAGAAGCTTTTCCAATGAGTAGCCCAGAGCTGGTGGTAGGTTCCTTGGTCTTCCATGGGGCCAACTTGGAGGTGGAGGAGAGAGAGGCGACCAGCCCTTGGCCCACGCTTTCCCCAGTGTCTTCCACTTACTCTCTAAGATGGAGATTGGTCCTCCCCTTCTGGGAAGCCTCACCAGGCCTCACCTGTCCTACCCACTCCGTGCGCATCCTCAGTGCTTCTTACACATGTGTACCTCATCTGCCTCTGATTTCTCTCCATCTCTGAATGTTGAGTTCTGTGAGGATAAACTGGAAGTGCCACATCTCTTTCTCCCCAGGATTAACTAGAATGCTGAGTAACTACTTATTGAATTGCACTAATTTCAAGGGGAATGAGAAAAGAAAGAGGTGGGTGCTCAGTAAGACAGACTAGACCAGGCAGTCCAGGGGCAAGTCTGCTAAGTGTAGAAGAAAGTCACATTGTTCCAGCACTATCCTGCCTAATTTTGGCCCTTTTGAACCCTGGAAAGGAACACTTTGCACACAGCCGGAGATAAGAGCCCTTCCAGCAGATCAAGGGGCCCACTTAGGCCCCTTACAGTGAAAGGGGCAAAGGTCCCGCTGTGACTCGAGGAAGGAGTTCTCTGCTTGGGGCACTGAATTTTCCCATCTTTTTTAAATTATTATTTATACAAGAACTGGGGTACAGTCAGAGACGTGGGAGGGTGAGAGAATTCACCAGAGACAGAGCAGGGAGCAGAACAGGCAGACAGACCGAAGACACTGCTGAGGGGAACAGCAGGCAAGACAGGAGAGGTCTGCGTGCCATGTGGGAATCTCCCTGGCTGGCTGGGAATTGAATCCGCACTGCAGAGGTGCGGACAGCTTCACAGTGCTGCACTCAACCCTCTGCGCCACCAGGGAGGCCCTGAATCTTCCCATCTTAATCCCTTCTCCATGTTCTGCCTACCGAAGCCTCTGAAACTATGCTGGGGTTAGTAAGATGGGCAGAAGCAGGCATCTTATTATCAGTTAATATGCCCCAAGATCAGTAAGAAAGATAAATTATTTGCAGAGCCAAGTGAAGAAGGAATGTCAAGGCCGGTACCCCACTGTCTCTGGTCTGTGCCAGGGCCTGGGTCCGATGTTTCCTGGTGCCCATACCCATGGCTGGTGGTGGGTGGTGGGGTAGGTGAGGCAGGGGTGGGACTGTCCCTCCTGCTCGGTCCAGAAATGCCCCTACAGATCTCTCGACAGCAGCAAAAGCCACAGCCAGACGCAGGGACTTCCCGTAGATAAAGCTGTTCTTGATGGAAGGTCCTGTGGACTGGGCGAGAAGGCGGATCATTTGCTCATGGGATGTCCTCCCAGCTGTGGGTAGGACAGAGATGAGCAAGATTAGACAAGGAGCATCCTCGTGTAGTTTGCATTCCAGTGAGAGGAGGTTGACAAATGAGTCAACAAGTAGATAAGTACAGTGATTTTAGATGAAGAAGCGTGCTGCAGAGGGAGGCCGGAGGCTGCGGGCATCTTTGGATAGGGAGGTCAGGCCACCAGGAGCTGTCCTGGGGTGAAGGCAGAGGGAAGAGGGACCACTGAGCTTGTCTTGCAAGGGGCGCAGAAAGCAGGCCAGCACGGACACAGGGCCCTGATGGGGGGCAAGAGCAGGTCGCATGTGGTGTCACACTGACTGTGGGAAGGGGTGAATTCTGTCCTGAAGATAATAGGAAGCCTCCAAGAAATTTCAAGCTGGGTGGTGACAACCTGATTTGTAGTTCCTAAAGGCAGTTCTAAATGTGGCGCAGAAAATAGAGGCAATCGCCCCGGCGTATCTTGTTGGCAGGGACAGTGAGACCCTGTTGTAAACACTGGCGATACAAGAGAGGAAGTACAGCAGCCATCGGAAGGGAGCAGATGACCGGGTGTGGGCGTCGGGGCAGGCTGAGGTGACTTGGTCTGAATCTTTACTTTTCTCCTTTTGTCCCAGCCCGTGTGTTTTTGCTTCCGGTCTGGTAGGGCCACAGTGGCAGGGCTACTTGTTCTAGAGAAGAGGTGGCAGCATTGAGAGTGCTGAGATTAGGGGTGGTGTGTGTGTAAGCAGCCCTGCTCCCCAGGGGGGCTGTCGGCCAGCACCCCTCAGTCTCTCAGCTGCTTTGGGAAGCTCATCCAGGACCAAGGTTGGAGACTGCCGCCATGGAAGTGTGTTGAACTCGGGAACTTGTGCCCGAGGAGACCTTGTGGAGCCTGGACACCAGCAGAGTCCCTACCGTGACTCCACTGGGCTGCAGACACTGTGCGGGGAGGAGGGGCGGCCCTTCCAGGCACAGCCGGGTCTGCTTATCTGCCCAGAACTTCCTGTTCCCTGGTTTGACTTCACTGTCTCCACTGTTCCAGTCCAGTGATACGCCAAGTTCTCTGAGTCCTCCGAATCTGCCTGGAGCCACCAGCGAGATGGAGGAGAAGGTAATGTGATTTGAACCTACATACTTCGTACTTAGCCTCCTTCCTTGAGCTTCCATTTCTTCTTTCTCTCCCCTGCCCCTCCTGCTGCCTCATGTTTGTGTTCATAGATGCTGCCTTCACCCAGTACCTTAAATTTCTTTGCTTGCAACCAGTGCGAGGTGTTGAGTGGGCTGTTTCCATGGAGGACTCTACCTTTGGAGTCTTTTGACATTAATAGTTGTCCTAAATGTCTGACTTCAAGACACTGTCAAGCCATTGAAAGACATTCCAGAACGCTTGAGGGTGCCTAAGTTTGTAAAAGAGTTTCTGTTTACAGAGGCCAAAAGCGAACCAAAGCATTTATCTACTTTTACATGTTTTGTTTTTTGACTTTTCTGAATTCCTTTGCCACCTGGAGCTTCACATGCAGGGGTCTAGGGAGACTTTTAGGGACTCGGCTGCACCTCCTTTGTAGAAGCCAGTCTGCTCCCCTTGAGGGCTTTTCTCCTTCACAGGGGCCCAGAGGGGCCCTCCTGGGGGCGTGGCAGACAGTACGATGAGCAGGGTATGTCCTGGAGTCTTCTGAAAGGGAGGAGTCGAGACAGTGCCACCACCTGAAGGGTGAAGAGGCTCAGCTGGAATAACTCGAAATGAAATGTTACATTTCAATCTCAGTTTCAACTGCTTATCTGTGTCTTCAATCTGTCTCATTTGGTTTGATCGCCTTTTACTCAGTCACCCATTAGGGGATGGAACTAAATGTTTAATTTCTCTCTTTTTCAACAGTAGTTCAGGATTTGACGCCTGTTACAAAGAGAACCATAAATAAATAAATAAAAGCTAGCAGACCAACGGCTGCAATTCTTTTCCCTTATTTCCGTGCTGCTTGTCATAAATTAATATTTACCGAGCATTTAGCCGCCCTTGGAACTAGCTTGGCCCTTTATCTTTTGTGCATAAATATGGAAAGTAATTGCAAAAAGCAAACCCATCGGCTAAACCCCACTGACTCTGCACATACAGCGCACAAACAGATGAACTTATCTAACGCTGCCCTTGTGTCCCAGAGCAGCTGGCACGAGCAGATAGGGCCGCGAGCGCCCTCTGCCGCGCGTTGGCCTGTGTGACCAGGAGCCCTGGCCTCTGGGCTTGCCCGTAAATTCCCTGCTTCTTACCGGCTGACTCAGTACAGCTCTGGGTTCTGGCTGAGCCATGGTCTTGCAGACCTATCTGAATCTGAACAATTTATCCACGTCTGTGCCTTTCATGTGATCGCATCTGCGTTACAGAACTGCGAGCCATGCGCCAGCTCAGCCTTTGCAGAACTACCTTTCCCCAGCAGCACATTTCTGCCCTTCATTTTTTAATCCAGGCTTCCTCCTTTAGTTTCTCCACGCACTCAGTGCTCCATGACTTTGGAGTGAGTGAGTTGAAACAGTTTTTACTGATTAGGAATTTCATGCCCTTGGCATGATGTTATATACATTACCGTTCCTTTATCCCTTCCACAAATATTTGTCAAATGAGGTTTGCTGCTTGGACAGATCGGGGACTGATACAAAGATTAAAAAGGACACATTCCCTGCCTCAGAGGGACTAAGGAGAGAGCTGAGGTATGCAGGCATGGTGTTGGAGGGAGGAGGAAGGCCCTTAGAGTTTTAGGGTTCTTAGCATAGAGATGAGCTAGTTCAGGGCTGAGAAAGCCACTACTTATTTTAGGTTTTGTGGCCCTTAGGTCACAACAAGGAGACTCCCCTTTGTTCTGCTTTTTCTTTGTAGCTCGTAAGCAGCCTAGAAGAATAGACATGGCTGTGTGCCAGTGAAACATTACTGATCAGAACAGGCTGCAGGCAGGATGTGACACCCTGACTAGATTTTGTTGAACACCCATGTGATTCAGAATAAAACTAGTCCCTGGAAGTTAAATGACATTTACATAAACGCGTGTATCGTTGGCAGAACCAATAATCAAATGTTCTGTCTTCAATTCCAAAGACAGTACTCCTTGCGCTGTTCTGAGGCGTCCCCTCTGCTCATCAGGGCTGCAGTCTGACATCATATTTTCATCTTCACTCCAGGTTGCTCCAGCTAAACCATCTCGACCAAAAAGGCACTTCTCCTCTGCCGGCACCATAGAAAGTGTCAACCTAGATGCCATCCCCCTGGCCATTGCTCGCCTGGACAACAGCGCCGCCAAGCACAAGCTGTCCGTTAAGCCAAAAAACCAGAGGGTATCAAAGAGGCACAGGCGACTCATCGGGGTAGGTAAAGTCCATCCTGGCTGACCAGGAAGACGCCCTTCCTTGCTGGGCACTCATCCAACCCCATGGGGTGGTCTCGGGACGGACCCAGAGAAGGAACAGGCTCTCTCCCCATTGGGAACTGGGGTGTGTGGCAGGGCATGACGGTCCAGGGCATGAGCCTCCTTGACTTTCCCTCGCCCTGTCTGGAGGGGGTGGACCTCAGAGAGAGAGTCTGCCCTTTGAGGGAGTCCAGACACTTTGCATTTGCTTTAGCTGAGCAGTACCCCGCTGTTCTCGCATGGCCTAGCCAAAGGCTCTTCAGTTTGATTAGGGTGAGCTGCCAAGTCATAAATTTAGGAGACCTTGATGAGAGGCAGCTCGCATTTCTCCCTCATCTCTCTAACGCTGGAGTCTTGTTTTTCTACAGTTATTCACCCTTATTTAGAGAACAGAATTTGAGAATGACATACACAGGGGCTAGAGAGTAAACATATAGATGATGTTTTTCCGTCTGCACCCACAATTTACTCCTGAGTTTCCCTGTCTCAGTACTTGGGACAACCCCCCTTTCTCGTGAGATCAAGAGGGCCACCTCCATTGTGAATAGGGTAATGGTTGCATGTGCAAAAGGAAAAGACTCATCCTCTGTCCCTTCCCAACACCAGGATCGCCCAGACGAAGACGGTGGCCTTCTGCCTCAGCTGTCCCCGGGCCAGAATGGACACTCTGGGGAAGACAAGGCCAGCTGGCATGAGGAGGAACCGGAGCCCCTGGACTCGGAAGAGGAGAGGAGGCGCCAGGATGAGTACTGGCGAGAACTGGAGGCCAAGTGCAAGCGGCAAAAGGCCGAAGCAGCCGAGAAGAGACGCCTGGAAGAGCAGAGGCAGCAAGCCCTGGAGCGGAGGCTTTGGGAGGAGAACAGAAGGCAAGAGCTTTTGGAGGAGCAAGGAGAGGAAGAGGCGATGGAGGAGAAGCAGCACCAGCCGGCGGCAGACAAGAGGCAACATGGAGAGGAGAAGCAGAGACCGGAAGAGCCAAGTTGCCAAAGGCAAGAGCAGAGGGAGCCCGAGGAAGGGGAGCTTCTGGAAGCCAAGCAGAAGCCCCTGAAGGAAGAGGCCGAGCGACAGGAGCGGCCCCGAGAGCAGGAGGAGCTGGAGGCGTGGAGCAGGTGGGAGGCCGAGCAGCTGCGGCAGGAAGAGGAGAGAGAGTCGGAGGCACTTAGAAGACGGGAGGAGCCCGAGGAGCAGCGTCGGGAGGAGAGAAGGCTGGACGAGCTCAGGCAGCGGGAGGAGCTGGAAGAGCTGGGGCGGCGGGAGGAGGAAGAGAGAAGGATGAAGGAGCTCAGGAAGCAGGAGGAGGAGACTAAGAGAAGGGAAGAGCTGAGAAAGCAGGAGGAAATGGAGACCCAGGGGCGGCAGGACGCTGAGAAAGAGCATCAGGACGTGGCGGCGCACAAGGACGAGAGGCAGCTGGAGCCGGACTCCAAAAGGGGCCCGAGGAGCCCACTTCAGAAAGATTTGGCAGAGAAACCTGAAGACCAGCACCTAACATCTGAAAAGCAAAGACAAGACTCTGTGGAGCCAAGTCTTGGGGAGAAGCAGCACCCCGAGGCCGAACCCTTAGGAGAGCAGCAGGGAGCGCAGGGGGCTCTTCATGAGGATGATGGTTGTGAACGGCGGGGAAAGAGAGAAGCGGCTACTGTACAGCCTTCCCAGAAACAGGAGGCGCAAGTAGAAGTGATGGCGACTCCCGTGGAGACGAAAGAAGCTGCTGCCCCAGAAACAGACAGGAAAGGGGAAGAGCTCAGGTGGCAGGAGGTGGACGAGAGGCAGACCATGCCCCGGCCCTATACTTTCCAGGTGGCTTCTGGAGGGAAACAAATTCTCTTCCCCAAAGTCAATCTGAGCCCAGTGACGCCAGTGAAAGATGCAGGACTTGCCTCTGCTCCCCATGAACCAAAGGCCCCTAAAGCCAGCCCGGCCCCCCATGCCCTGTCCTCGTCCCTGAGCATCCCCCACACGGCTATTTTGGTCACGGGAGCTCAGCTCTGCAGTCCGGCTGTCAACCTGAGCCAGATCAAGGACACTGCATGCAAATCTCTCCTGGGCTTGTCAGAGGAAAAGAAGCAGGTGGATGTTCCAACTCCGGAGAACCCACCCCGAGTGCCCGCGGACCCCCGGCCAGGCAGCGGGAAGGCCAGGCCCCCCCAGGAGTCTCCAAGCAGTGCGGCTGCTCTAGCTGAATGGGCATCCATCCGGTCCAGAATCCTGAAGAATGCAGAGAGTGACCAGCGTGGCGAGCGAGACCAGACTCAGCCCAGTGACGAGCACCCTCCCAGGGGCCGCTCCGATTCCCGCGGGAACCTCCGGAAGACCCCGCCAGTGAATGCGAAGTTCTCCATCATGCCCGCCTGGCAGAAGTTCTCTGATGGGGGCACGGAGACCTCCAGACAGAACCTAGAAGCAGAAAACCTTAGAAAACGACCCGGGCTGGGACCCAGTGAAGAGGCAGCACCCCAGCTCCTGTCTGCTGGTGCTAACGTGCACCAGAAGGGTCCAGAGAAAGTGGGGGTGCACCAGGAGCCAACAGACACCACAGAAGGATGCAAATTTGCCAAAGACCTTCCATCTTTCCTCGTCCCAAGCCTCCCCTACCCTTCGCAGAAAGCAGGGGCCCATGCAGAGCCCGCGACCACTTCAGACAGTGAGACCCCCGGTGAAAAGCCAGACCCCATGATGCCAGGGGCAGAGGAAAAAGCCTCGCCATTTGGAATAAAATTGAGAAGGACCAATTACTCACTGCGCTTCCACTGTGACCAACAGACAGAGCAGAAGAAGAAGAAAAGGCATAGCAGCACAGGGGACAGTGCTGATGGGGGGCCCCCCACCCCTCGGAGCACAAATGCAGAGAAAGAAACAGAGGGCACAGCCCCTAAGCATGGCCCATCCCACCTGCCAGAGAGGAAGCTCACCCCGGCCTCCGGGAAGGACTCTGCTGAGAGCCCCTCCAGCCACTCCCCTGCCGCTGTCCAGCCCGGGCCTGCACCGGCCCACAGCCAGACCCTGGCTCCAGAGCCTGAAAAGGTGGCAAGCAAAACGCCCCTGGCACAGAAGCCAGCCCTGGCTCCCAAGCCCACCAGCCAGACCCCACCCCCCTCCCCAGTCTCCAAACTGAGCCGACCCTACTTGGTAGAGCTGCTGGCGCGCAGGGCAGGGAGGCCCAGCCCAGAGCCCAGCGAGCCCTGCAAGGAAGACCAGAGGGGCGGGGACCCCCAGCCACCCTCACCACCCCTCCCAGAGGAGAGGCAGGCCCCGAAGAGGGACGAGGAAGAGGTGGAGACCGAGAGGAAGCCCTCTGCACCAGCGCTGTCCGCGGCTCGACAGGAGAAGCCCTCCCAGGCGCCTGAGGCCGCGAGGAAAGGTGAGTAGCAGGACGTGGGGACGGGGCCTTCATCTTCCAGAGCCGTCCAGGTTGCAGCTAAGCAGAAAAGCCCGCAGCGGGAAGCGGCCCGTGGAGCCGGTGCTGGGAGTCCTTCCCTTGGAAGTGGGTTTGTCGTGCCCCAGGAGCCCTCCTCGCGAGTCACAGCGAGGCTCTCGTGCATTCCTTGAAACTGGGTGCTGCTGGGTGTCTGCAGCTCATGCCCTTTAATGATATTTAGTTAGACAAGTATTAAGAAAGGTGCCAACCAGACTAATGTGCTTTTGGCTGACAGTGGAAATGGAAATATGGGCCTCAGGAACGAAGAGGTCACGAAGGGACGGTGAGTGACGGGAAAGACTGGACTTTCCTAGCCCCGAGCCTGTGTCTCTCTGGGCAGTGACTGGCACCCCAGTGGGAGGCTGGGGGCGTGCATGGCTCCCCGGGCATGAGCAGCCTCTGTATGGATAATTGTCTCCAACTTGTGCAGGGTGCTCCCCAGCCAGCCAGCCCTTGCCCTGAAGTCCTCCCATAAAGCAGCTGGAGGGGACCCTTCCTCTTAGCTGCCCCTGTGTTTCCTCATCCTGGATAGTTGGGACAGCGCAGGGACCTGGGTTGGCTTGGGCCTGAGAACCTTCATCTCATGCTTTCTCTGTTTTACCAAGAAGGAACCGTGTGGGTTGTAGCCCAAGAAGATACATTTCTCAAAAGAAATTCTCCCCTGAGGTCTCTTTAGGGAGGCATTCGTTTCTCTTTTTTTCCATTGTTTCGGTTTGGGGTAATTTTTTTCTTGAGGAGCCTGGACTTGGTATTTTACTTAAAGAAAGTCCTAATTTGGACCTCCTTTAACAAGCCTCACCTGGTTTTCTGGACTGACACATTGACCAGAATTTTCCAGAACATTTTCCTCTAATGGTTTCTCTTTGTCCTGCCAACAAGGGACCCATTTTCAGTTTGTTTGTTTTGATAAATGTTTTTATCTTAACTTTTTTATTAAAAAAAAAAGAAAGAAAGAAAACCCACCACTTATGGGACCGCCTCTACTCTTGCTCCCAAGTATTATACTTGGTTTGGGGAAGATAACCTGATCTGAGTTCCAGAAGCTCATGAAGAATTGTCCTTCAGCTCCTTCTAAGAGCCTGTAGTTCTCTTGAACACATGTTCTAATGTTTTTCAAATCTTGATGTCTCAATGGCCCATCTCTCAGGCTGCAGGTCTTAAAGGTTGGGGTGTCAAATGTGGGGTCCCGACCTTCTACTCATCAGGGAGAAGCTAGGAGTTGAGAGTTCCTTCCTGGTTGTGTGTCACTGAGCTGAGGGTGGGGTTCATGGTGAGATGGGGTCTCAGTGTCTTTTTCTCATCCTCCTGATGTGTAGGAGTTGCTCAGCTAGTTTCTGGATTTCTTTCAGAGGGAACATTCTGAATGTAGCAGTAGATTGGGTCTGTCTATGGAAAGAGGGGTGTTTAGCTCCCTTGGTTGCCATCTTGAACCGAAACCCCCATTTTCAGTTTGGACCTTAGTTTTGGTGTTGTTTGCTTTCATGGTGTCATCAAATCCCTCTCAGAGTCTGGCCTGCTCTGTCACTCGCTTATCTTCTCCCTGAAGAAATAATGTTCTATTGGGCCTCCCTGGTGGCGCAGCGGGTTAAGTACAGTGCTGTGAAGCTGTCCACAGCCTCTGCAATACGAGTTCAATCCCTGGCCAGGAAGAATACCCACATGGCACAGCAGACCTTTCCTGACTCGCCCGCTGCTCCCTTCAGCAGTGTACTTCGGTCAATATGCCTGTTCTGTTCCCCGCTCTATCTCTGGTGAATCCTCTCACCCCCACACCTCTGGCCTGTACCCCAGTTCTTGTATGCATAAATAAATAAATCTTAAAAAAAAAGGCCTACAAAAAAAAAAAGAAATAATGTTCTATTCTGCTTCTTTTTTTTTCTTTCCTTTCCACCCCCTCCCACCTCGTTCTGCTTCTTTTTCTTAGAGCGGTCCCTTTGATTATTATAACTTTATACCAAAAACAATTGCTGGTCCTGTTTTCCTTCCCAGTATGCAGATCTGGACTGTCAGATTTTGCTAATTGAATTTTTATTTGGTAGAAAAGAACCATGAAAGCCAAGATCACCTGCCTTGTGGGTGGTCGCTGCCTGAAGACCATCAGCTAGGGCTGACCAGACTGGTGTGACTTCTGTAGTTCGGTGAGCGTGTGGAGTAGCATCTCTCCTTTTAAGTAAACGTCTCTCGTGAAATACACAAAAGACCCCATCAGGATAAAAACATTAAGCCTGGACCACCAATTTATTTGTTAACTGTGTAAATGTAGTAGCTTCACTAGCTAAGGGCCCCTGGATACACTTAGGGTGATATCCACTGAAGCAGCACACAGAAATCAGAGCTCGCCAGCTCTGCTGTTTTCTTATGCTTGCATTATTAGCAGTCTATTAGACCTGTGATTTGTTTGCAGAAATTGCTTTGTGCCTTTTGTCTATTTCATGAGAGATGTTTAGTTAAAAGGAAATATGATAGTCCATAAACTCACCTAACTGCAGAAGCTTACAATATGCTAAAAGCAAAATGGGTAGAGCCAGGACAAGATTGCTAGTTCCTTCTCCCTCTCCCACCCACCCCGCCATCACCTCCTAACACTCCCAGCTGCTGTGGGATGTCTTTAAACATCCCATTTGTTGTACATGGCCTCCGATATATGGGCTGAGTGAGGGTGTGAGTGTACCTGAGCGCTAAATGTTAGAAAAACTGGATTTTGTTTTTATATTTAGATTTAAAAATATATAAAAAGAAATTGGAATTTTTTCGCCCTTCATCCCTGATGAATTGCCTTGTGCATGCCCCCAGACACAGCTCCTCTGAAGTGGTCTTTGGCGACCACTGCTCAGCGGGAACCATTGTACAGGCCTAGCCACGGGAAGGGGTTACTCGGAATGAAAGTAGCAGCACTGACCCTATGTACCACCCTTAACACTTCCACTGCAGGCAGCCCCAGCTCTCATCTTGTTCTGGAATTTCCTCTTCCTTATGGCCTTTTGCCCAAGAACTGACCTTGGGGAGCAGTGATGAGCTCTGCAATGCCAGGAGTCCCTTGCTTCTCCCCCCAAAATCTTAAAGAAGGAACGTGAATGGGCTGTAGTTCTTCTGGTCATAGGGTAGAGAGAGAAAAGGTTTAAACAGTGTAGTAAAATATATTTTTAATCAGCTGTTTTGAATTCCTGGACTAAAAAGTTATATAGTTGACAAAGAACATCTTTGTCTTTCAAAACCTTGACTGAGTGCTTCATCAAGGGCTCCTTTTACATAATAGCTTTAAATGGAAATCATTTCGATCTTGGCAATTTTGTTTTTAAACATTTTACAGACAGGCATTACACAGCCCTTGAGTAAAAAACCAGAACTTATTAAGTTCTGGTTTTCCAGATATGTAATTGGAATATGTAATTCCAATATATGTAAACGCTTCACAGTTAAGCAGAATGCTGATGTAGTACATGATATTTTCTGGCTAACTAAAGCTTACTCAAAACCTTTTCTATTTCACCTTTTAAAAAAAATACTTCTAAAATGTGTCAGTTTCCTTTTCTAATGTTAGATCATATTTGAATCTTTATTTGATGATTAGGGATATTGCAATGCTCAAGCTTATTATAAATTTGATTTCTCTTTGGTACAGCACTACCGGTATAGAAAATGACCCAGAATCTGCTGTATGTGTGTGTGCACGTGTGTGCTTGGATTTCTTATTTGAACTTATTTTGGTCTTTCTCCTAAATGTAAGTTCAGTTACTGGCTGAATGCCATGAACTTTAGGGCAGGTTCTGGATTGTCAAAGTGTAAACTTCTATTGGGTTCAAAAGAACAGGATTGTAATGAGCCCTTCTTCAGGATAGTAAAGGACTCACACCTGAATGGTGACCTCCAGATGTGCCTCATTTTTACTTGAGGGGCAGGAAGGGAATCATCGTCTCATAGACAGAAAAAGAACAACTCACTTTCACAGGTGGTCACTATGCACCAAGCCCTGTTCTAATGTCTTTTCTAATCTCCATGCCTCCCCACGAGCCATGTGGCTTTCTCCAGTTATGGATTAGAAGACTCAGGCTTAGAGAGATTAAGTAGTTTTCCTAAGGTCAAACCAGGTCTGCTCACTCCGGAGCTCAATTACTCAGCCTTGACACCATCCACCTGTGAGGTGTTGACTCGGTTGTGCGGATGATGCAGTCAAGCCCAGAGAAGCCCAGCAGGGAGTCAGGCTTGGCTCCTTTGGGAGCTGTGCACTCACTGCCCATGATGGCCAAGCGTGCTGGGCACTGCGGGCCGAGTACAAGCAACCCTTGAACAGCTGGTAGGGTCCTCTTATAAACCGATGACATCCGCTTACAGTACTGATACATACAGCACGGTGCTGTAAATATATTTTCTCTCCCTTAGGATTTTATTTTGAAGATTTATTTATTTATTTAAACAAGAACTGGGGTGCAGGCCAGATGCGTGGGAGGGTTAGAGGATTCCTCAGAGAGCGAGCGGGGAACAGAACAGGCAGACTGATGACATACACTGTTGAGGGGACCAGCAGGCGAGACAGGAGAGGTCTGCCACGTCATGTGAGACCCTCACCAGCCGGCCGGGATTGAAGCGGCGCTGCAGAGGCTGTGGACAGCTTCACAGCGCGGCGCTCAACCGCCTGCGCCACCAGGGGAGGCCCTTTCCCTGAGGATTTTAATACCACTTTCTTTTTAGCTTACTTTATTGTAAGAATACAGATCCTAATGCATATAGGTACAAATATGTTAATCAATAAGGCTTCTGGCCAACAGCAGGATATTATTGTTTGGGGAGTCAAGAATTATACTTGGATTTTGGAGTGGGGAGTTGGCACCCTAACACCTGAGGTGAGTAGCTCAAGGGTCAGCTGTACTCATATTTATCCAGTGAGGGCATTGAACCAAACTCGAGGCTCCCTGCTGTGTTCTTAGAGCCCTGCCCTCAGCAGCCCCACTTGGTAAGCGATGCCCCTTTTCCTTGGGGGTTGAACATAGGCTGTTGTGGAGGGTCGGGGGGGGAATGAAGTGCCATTAAAAAACTACATCCTAAAAACAACTTACAAAAACAGAACAATGATGAATCAAATAACTTCCTGGGGCCCCTGTAAGTCTAAGCTTACAAAATTCCTGACACCAGGAATTTTTTTTTTTTTCTTACAAAGTAGAGTAGATTCTTCTATTTAGAGGGACGAGAAATGCTCCTGTATTTCTGTTGATCAAAGATATGTTACTTCCCACCAGGTGGACTCACTTAGGCTTCAGTGCAGCGCTTGGTAGGAAGGGATGGTTCATCTCCCATAGGCTGATTAATAATCACAAATTTTAGGGGGTGAGAGACTGATAAGCCGTTCGTTTCACAAAAGCAGATCTGCTTGATTTGTATTAATTCTGCCCACCATTCCAGTGTGTGTGGATGAGAGTGTGTGGGGTGGTTTCGGCACCACCAAACAAATCTCCAACCCCAGCTGGGTGTCCTACAATCCAGCTCAGTTCTGACACCAGCTACCTGCAGATAGCATCAGATCCCACGGGTTCAGGGCCCAGCCTCACAACACTGTCCCCACCTCAGGTGCCAATCCAAGTCGAGGTTGTCACCTGTGCTTCTGAGCTGAAATCAGAGGTTCCAAGACTCTCTCCTTGGGTTCAATTAATTTTCTAGAACAGCTCACAGAACTGAGGGAAACAGTTCACTTGCTAATTTGCTTATTGTGAAACAATAAAACTCAGGAATAGCTGGGTGGAAGAGATGCATGGGGAGAAGTATGGCAGGAGGGCAGTGCGCCATCACCATGGCGGACACACCATCTTCCCGAATCCCCACCTGGTTACCAACCTGGAATCTCTTTGAACCCTGTCCTTTGGGTGTTACGGAGCCTTCCTTATAGAGGCATGATTGATTAGATCATTGGCCTTTAGGACTGAATTCAGTCTCTGACCCCTCTGCCCTCCAGCTGGCCCCTGTAAGCAACCAGCGCCCATCCCTAGGTGCCTTCCTCTCACCTGGTTAACATAACAAAGGGCACCTCTATGATCTCCTCACTTAGGAAACTCCAAGAACTCTGTCGGAACCAGGAACATAACCACCTAGCCAGTATAGTCCTTATTATAAATCACAAGTCTTTCCTCCTGCAGAAAAGCCGGTGCTGCAGAGCAGGCACTCTTTAGACGGCTCCAAACTTGGGGAGAAAGTTGAAACTGCACAGCCATTGTGGATAACATTAGCACTGCAAAAGCAGAAGGGATTTCGGGAGCAGCAAGCAACTAGAGAAGAGAGAAAGCAAGCCAGGGAGGCCAAGCAGGCGGAAAAGTTCTCCAAAGAAAACGTGAGTATGATGGGGTTTGGGAGTTGGTTTGGAGTGCGGGGTCCTGCTCATAGCCTTTCTGTTTTAACTTGGCCTCCAGAGCTTGGCTCTCTTTTCAGTAACAAGGACTTAAAGAAAAAAAGAAAGGCAGGCTAGGTGGGAGTGCAGGAGAATACTGAGAAAAAGCAAAGAAATAAAGAAATTGACCACCATTCAACCAAGCACTTCTGCATAAAGATTTGATTTGGTTTTCTTAGGCTCCGAGGTTAGCCTGCTTTGGTAGAATCCACAGTGTAAATCAGTAGCAGTGATCCATGTACTCCACAGTTATGGGAATGTGAAAATGATTTTGAGCAGAGAGTTGGGAGGAACTGGGGAGTCTTGCTCTGTAGCCCTAAGTACGTGATGGTTTGATGGGGCGCTCCTGGGAAAGGAGCCTCCCACCCTGGCACGTTGGCAGAGCTGCTCCGTGCAAGGGGCCAAAGCTGAGCACATTGCTCAGTGTAGTCCTGCAGCTCCTTTGGGAGCAGAGCTTGGGGGCTGCGATATTTTCCATGTCCTTTTGTCAAAAACACGCCTTTCTTACCCTCTTTGCCCTCCAGGTCGGTGTCAGCAGAGCTGGTTCCCTGCACAAGTCCACTGCTCAGCCAGAGGAGAAGAAGCCTGAGACGGCAGTGGCCAGGCTCGAACGCAGAGAGCAACTGAAAAAAGCCAACACCCTTCCTACATCTGTGACAGGTAGAGAGCAGGTCCATTCCCATTGAACCGCAACTACAGGCTGTTCTCAGAGCTTGCTTTATTTCCCCCAGTGAAAACGACCAGTCCAGCATTTCAGGCATTTCGAAGCCCAGACTGTCTTGCAACTGTCATACCCCTTGACACTGACAAAACACACCCGATGAGACCGCCAGGCGCTCACCCACCAGCAGTGATGTGATGCTTACCAACCAGCTCTTCAGGGGCGGAGAAACCTCTATTTGTAGCATTTGCCATTTTCTGTGGTGTAATACTCCTGCCACGGCCAATTTCAAGCTACCAATGTGTGATCGATTGGCTGGCTAAATTCTTGAACATTTCATAAGTCATCTCCGCCCTCACTGGGTGGCCCGACAAAATTAGGTTCCTTAACTTGCTGTAGTGAGGAAGATTACATATCCTAAGATCCTTCTAGACAAGGAAAGAGAGAAGATTATCAGGGGATTTGGGTGAAAGGGTAAAGTTTAGGTAAAATTTAAGTGGAGCAGTGTTCTGAGACACTCAGGCAAAGCAGAGGTGCAGGGTGTACATAAAAGGGTTGGAATTAAGCCTAAGCTGAAAAGTGGACTCAGGATCCCGTTTCCTTTGACCCTCCAAAGCTAAGCTAAATGTGTGGAAGCAGAATCTGAAAATCCTGTTGTGGAGCTCTGCACCTGGGCTGGAAATGCTCAGATGTTCCAGGCAGGAGTAGGATGGTCCATACTCACTGATGTGGTTCCAGAAAGTCTCTCACTGGCTATGACTTTAGAGAGCATGGATTTTTTCAACTCCAAGTTCTTTTTTTTTTTTTTTAAGTTATTTATTTATTTATACAAGCACTGGGTACAGTCAGAAGTGGGAGGGTGAGAGAATTCACCAGAGAAAGAGTGGGGAACAGAACAGGCAGACCGACGAAATACACTGCTGAGGGGAGCAGAGGGCTTGGCAGGAGAGGTCTGCGCACCATGTGGGACCCTCGCCGGCGGCCAGAGATCAAACCATTGCTGCAGAGGCTGCGGGCAGCTTCGCAGCCCAGTGCTCAAGCACTGTGCCACTGGGGAGGCCCTCTAAGTTCTTGATGTTTATTAGCATTGGCAGGTTTTAAATGTCTAAGAGGTATACATTAATTTTTTTTTTTTATGTTAAAAGGTAAGATGATCCAGTAACATTTCCAACTCTCCCAGTTGCAAATCACTTAGAGGATGGATGAATCTATAGAAACTTCCTCCCAGGGGTTAACAGAACATCTGTTTCCCCACTAGGCACCCAGAGGACACCTAGCCCAGGCTTTTTTACCTGCTAGCTAAGGTCTAGAAATGTAGAAGACTCACTATTAAAGCTATATTTACTGCTTGGTGAAGAGAAAAAAAAATTGTATTTGAAAAATACTTTGGAGTACTGGCTAATTTAAGAATTTCCATGGACATTACTTCATTTGCTGGTAGAAGGATAAATTAAGGGTTCTAAATGTATGGGTGTCAGAGAGAATTCTTTCAAAATAAAGTGAAAACTCCAAGGTCAAAGAGATTACACCACCTTTCTTTGCTCGATTTCTTGGAAGTACTGAGGAGTTAATGCAATTGAGAGTGGCTCCTGCTTAATAAAACAAAGCATTGTCCTAAAGTACTTGTGTTTTCAATCAATTTCCTGCATTTTGTGTGTAGGCCATCGCCATAGGCACTAACCATGACCTAAAAATAACATGGGAACTTTCATCTTCTGAAGCCTTGAAGGTCTGGTAAAAGTGGTAAGAGGCCAAGGAATTGCTTGATGGGAATGAAAGTAGAGAGAGCTGGCAGGATTGTGTCCTTCAGAGATGGCGTGACCCAGGGTACTCTTGGTGGAGGAGGTAATTTTTGACCTCACCACCAGCTTGATCAGCTCCAACTGCTGGTTTGATCTTTTTCTTCATGAATCTGACTGGTCATACGGCTGGAATCATCAAGTTCACCATGCCCTTCTTAATTATGAGTAGCTTGTGACTGGAAATCGGGCTTCTAGAAGTTCTGGGAAATTGTTGGTGACTGTACTGTGGTCACTAGAATTCTGTACTTGTAATTCTGTACATTGTAATAGCTACAATGTCATGGTTTTTTGTTTCTTTCTCACCAAAGATGCCAAGAGTTTCAGTGGGTTTTCCTTCCTGAAGCTCATACTTCTGATCAATCAAAACGTAGCTCTGACTTATCCCTTTCTCCTTTTTCTTCAAAAACTCGATCCAGTGGAGATCTCTGATTCAGGCTCCCCGGCGCCGCTGGTGAAAGAAGTCACGAAGAGGCTGTCCACCCCTGATGCCGCCCCCGTGTCAACAGAACCTGCCTGGTTGGCTTTGGCCAAAAGGAAAGCCAAGGCCTGGAGCGACTGTCCACAGATTATTAAGTAGAGAGTGACTCTTGTCCATTCCTATTGCCAGTTATTGGCTTCTGTCCTTTTTATTTATTTATTTTTTATATAAGGTAAAGGAACCAAGCTGGGGGGGGCGGGGGGGAAGCATGTTTTATAGGCTCTAAAATAATGTTTTAGTAACTGAACTGTTGGTGTTCCTTGTAAAGAGTGTATTTGCACAACCCTAGGTCCTGGTGCCTTGAGCTCCTAGTTCTAAAGAGAAAATTCTGTCTGAAGGACCATGTGAAGCAAACTCCAAACTAAGAAATCCTCGGGAGCCTGCGGTGTCCATTCCACAGCCTTCCCACTCATTTCCACCCCAAACACCACTTAGAACATGTACTTTTGCCAATCTTTGTAATGTTTCTTTCTTTTTAATTCTCTACTGCAATTTCTTTTATCCAAAACATTTATCCTGCCATATCTTTGGGGATTTCTACCCTTTTCTATAGTACTGGTGAAAGGATCAGATACAGATAGAAACAAGAATGGTCATCCTCTTGAATGCAGTGAATCACAAATAATAGCCTGACTCTGCCCATGTCTGGTTTCCATGAATTTTCCCCAACCTGAAACTGTAACACAGGGAGCAAATCCATTCACACTCATCAGACCATTGCTCTCCTTAGCACATGCTAAACATTCGGCCTGCTTGGCTCTAGGGAACATTTTAATTTAACATGGTAAAGAATTGAAGCTCCCAGTTCTCTTTCTGTCTCTGAGAATCCCCATCTGCTGCAGAGGTCTGGGCTCCTTGTCAGACCTGCTGCCTCAAATCCTGTGAGAACAGAGCTGGGAGTGTATATTCTGGCAAAAACTCTTCAGATAAATTCTGATATATCCCAGAGGTTCGGAACCTTGGGATACACTGCCTCTAGTGTGAGGTAGTTTCAAAAATTCTAAAGGAGAGCTTCATTTCACCCAAAGAGGCAAAAGTTGAGACAGCTGTAATATAACATGGTTTTACATTACATGTCATGTAGACATGTTGTAATGTATACTATAACCTGTAAGAGCCTACTGACATTACATGTCTCTAAAAATTTCCTTAGGTCGTTAAGGAAAGTTCACAGGAAGCCAAGATTTGGAGCCTTTGTACTAAGGCTCTTCTGTAAGAAGTTTTTCTTTACCACAATCAAGTAATTCATATTTAATCAAGTAATTCATTTAGTGAAATGTTCAGTAGCATTTATAATTTAGAGCATTCACCTTGCTACCTTGAAAAAACATTTCAGAGTTTTAAGTGGCCTTGTTATATACACATGATAAAAAGAAGGGACTTGGCAATTTAAAAGCCTCATATAATAACTTTTATTTCCCTAACTTTGCTTTATATGAAACAGACATGCCAGCAAATGCACACATTGCTGATACTAACATTGTATTTCATGGTGGTTAGTATATTCTCATTGTCTTAGGTTCTGACTCCAAAATATAAGTATAAATCCTTTGCCCAGTGCAGGAGGAATTGCACCTTTTTTTTTTTTAATCTCCTAGAAAAACACATTTTATTAGTATCCATCAGTTTTCCTTTATACTCATTCAGTATGCAATGTGCTGTTATTCTATCACTGACCTTAAAGACTGACAGCATATAAAAAGCATTTTGTTTCTGGAAACAATGGTTCAGCCTCACAGTAGCAGCTGGCATGTATGATCAAGTGAATAGTTGTACTCTTGCAAGTTGGATTTATTAGTATATATACTGGACATTCAGACTGTTAAGAATCAATGTAATTTTAATTTTTTTCTATTGCTATGGGAGGCGATAAATATTCCACTGCACGTTTTCCACTGATGTCCATTTCTAAAACAAATATGTAGGCATTTGTTAGTTTCAATGATTTCCTCACTAATATAACACTTTAATGGCAACCTTTCAACCCAGAACTCTGGGATTATAGTGCTACAGTAATTCTTCTGAATTGACTTTTCTTTCATCCTATCAGCTTTGGATAATATCATAGTAATGGCAGAGAGCAGGCACCTAACAAAGAATGGTAGGTGAGTCAACTCTATTCTGGCTATCTACACCAAACCTGTAAAGGTAGGAGAAATACCTCAGTTAAAAAGTTTCTACTCAAAGTCTTTAAAAGAAGAGTATGCTGAGGGAAGTACAGTCATAGCACTTAAACTTCCAACAACTAAAAGAACATGTTTAATATTTCAAGTAACAGTTACTCCAACTTTGCACTAAATACCAATGAAGTGTTATTTTGCTTTAGTTGTGTGGCAGCCTTTCTTAACAGATATGAGGAAATTCTGTAAAACCATATTAAAAAATTCAAGGCTTTTTTTAATGAATGATTGCTATGTTAAATATACATGTTTTCTTTTTTAAAACAAACATACATTTCCCTGGCAAGGTTATAGATAATTAACCTCTGTTCATAGACTATATATAAGACTCGAGTTTTTTGTTTACTTTTTTAATTTTTCAAGTGCAATTGTTTCTTATATAACATTACTAATCACTATTAAATTATCATTTTAGCCAGTTATCAGCAAATTATAGTATGTATTCATTGTCTCTTCTTGTGACATTTAGTTTGCTTATTTTAAAGCAGAAACATTAGTTACAAGTGTCTTGCAATATTTTTACCAACAATAAAATTAAGTAGAGACTTAATGAACATACCTTAGTGTGATTTTAATATTATTTTGAGATTTGGGTTGTATAAAGTTTTAATGGAAAATGTCCATTATTGAAGGAAAAGATCTTTCAATAAAAAATACTCACAAGATCTTCAGTACTGGTGGAATTTCCTTCTCAAGTTGAAGTTTTCACTAATTTCAATGACCATCTACAAGAATGCTTTTGTTGGGCCTCCCTGGTGGCACAGGGGGTTAAGACACAACCTATGAAGCTATCTGCAGCCTCTGCAGCACAAGTTTGATCCCCGACCAGGGAGCTACCCACATGGCACAGCAAACCTCTCCTGACTTGCCCACTGCTCCCCTAAGCAGTGTATTTCAGTCAATCCGCCTGTTCTGTTCCCCACTCTGTCTCTGGCGAATCCTCTCACCACCCCCCACACCTCTGGCCTGTACCCCAGTTCTTATATGCATAAATAAATAAACTTTTAAAAAAGATTTTTTTTTTTTAAAAGAAAGCTTTTGTTGGGGGGAAAGAAAAACAACTCCAAGGCATTTTCTATAATGCCTTTTTTCACTAGATGTTTTTTAAGAGAAAAATAATAAATAGTGTCAAATAAGATATTTATCTCAATCCTAAATTGGAAGTGAATGGTCTGCCTCTCAGACAATATGACTCTTGAACACTTATTTGGAGTGTGTGGGGTTGGAGTTTACTGTAAAATATGAAGCAGCAGTGCTTCCAGCATGTACATTTCTGATGGGATAACTTCAGTGTCAAGCTAAGAAAAAACAAACCAAAAAAACAGAACCACCATGAATACCCATTAAAATATCTTTCTTTTGACAATCTGTGGTTTCCAGCTGACAGAAGAGTATCTTTTGTTGCTATATCATCCTCTCTCTACAATTTAATGGTTTTATCAGCTTCAGCTGTTAGAAACCAACTTTCAGACTGATCAAAAGCACAAGTAAATAATCCTGATTCACTATGCAATGACCCAGGCTGCACAGCAGAATGAACTCTCTAGAAGTATAGTCAGTTCTCCAGTCCCAAAGATGAATAGCACCACTACCAGGTCTGGCTAGCACTATATCAGAGTTTATCGTTAATGTGTTAACAGCATTATGACCAGAAAGATTTTGAATAAAACGTCCATCAGGGAATTTCCACTGTTTTACCTGGAAATGTATAATGTCTTGTCTGTAAAACCATAGCCCTGACTGATTTCTTATCATTTGTTAATGTTTTTCCAGTCACCAAAAACAATAATCATATTGCAGCATCCTAAATTCCAGTAATAATTTGTGGTTCTGCAGCTTCACACCTCACTGTAGCAACTGTGTTTATGTGTCCAGATAACATGTGTCCACGGGCTTTAGTTCTCACATTGCAGATCCATGCAGTTGAATCTCAACTACAGATTACCAGAACATGGATCGTTGGGTGCCCATCCAACCACATACTGCACTGAGACGTCTATGCCTTAGTGCCTTATAACTGTATATTCAACATCCCCGCGTTGGACTTGTCTGTCTTCTCCGCAGAACAGGTGTGGGCTCCTCGTGTTTACTATCACCCCACACTGTGCTAGTGTGCCCAGTTAATGACAATTTCAATTTACCAGTAACCAAGTCCCATCTTTATCGTTCTGTTGGCAGAGTCACTAACAAACCACTGATTTCCAGGTCCCACGGCAATGCGGGGTGATGCCCACTGACCACCCTGTGGAGTTTCCATGGTGGGTGCCACTGGGCTTTCAGCATGGTAGGGGTTTTTTAGTCATCAATGAAGAGCTTTGGCTTTGCCACCCTCCATAACAGCAGTCATCTCTGCAGGCTGTGAGCAGTGGGAAGCTTCAGGATGTCAGTATTTACTTTCAGCAGGTGCACTATGATCTGCATCCATCCTGGCCTGATTAGCAGGTAATGCCATGCTAAGGACTGTGCAGCTAATTCACTTGGCATTTTTTAGATCATAGTATTTGCTGTCAAAGCCACCTCTGGTCTGGTGGCTATGAAGGTGCATCTCTCACCAGATATTCGACTTCTTGTCTTTGGCAGGATGCTGCTTATGACCATATGAATCCAAAGCATTCTGAGAGCCCTTCTCTTTAAAATGTCTTTTGAAGTAGGCATATATAACATGTATGTAACGAGTACAGCTTACTCATTACACAGCTTGATTGTCTTTTTTTTTTTGTGACTCTTCAAGCAAAGGCACAGGTTTTCGATTACCAACTACAAACATGTCATGGGTCCACTTCAATGAGAATACAAGTGTGTGCACACAATGTTTCTGCACCTCCTCGACCACGATGCAGCCATGTATTCCATTGTTCGAGCAGGGAAGCTACCCTAAGCACCAGCACAAAAAATGCTGCCACAATTGTCCTTGAACACTTCTTAAGAGGCTGCTCAGGGCTCTCATGATCACAAATGTGGAGGCTGCGAGGCCTTCTTAAAGCTTAGACTCAGAAATGATAGTGTTATCACTAATATATTCTATCGATTAAAGCAGATTTTTGCATGTATCTCAGTGTAAATGAGTGAATTGTGTACTACATCACAGAGTAACCTTTTAACCCACCTGTATATTCTGATCTTTTTTTCCTCATAGGCTTTTTATTAAAAAAAAATTTGGTATATCTATAGTCTCATTAAAGGAAGTTGCCACTAAATTTGGTGTTTTGTTCTATAATTCCTTGTAAAAGAATTTGCTGTTACTACAAGAAGTAAAATATGGCAGTTCTCCAAAAAGTATAATAAACTAGCTTTTTAAGCAAAATAGAATCTTTAATGTAAAAATGTTTTATACTGGTAAAGTATTTTCAAGTGTCACAGGAATTAAGGACTACATTTGATTATTTTTCATTGCTGCTCAATAAATCCAGACAGTAGATATAATTATTTCTACATCCAATAATAAGCATTGATTCCCAGACCACAGGAGAAGAAAAGACTTCTCCCGGAAGTTCATGTACACTTTTCAATTGTCCACGCTTAGATTCCAGGATCCATAGTTTTCCGTCAGTAGATGCTGCTGCCAGCAACATTTCGTTGCTAGAACTGTGGTTACGGAAAGCAAATGGCGTTGCATACACCCTTGAAGTTGTTTCAAATTTCCATTGGAGGTCACCTTTCATACTACAACAGTATATAAAGCAGTCATGGGAACCAAAAAATATTTCTTGCTCTGATGCTGAGATACATGGAGATGAAAAGATTGGTTCACTGGTAGAGAACTGCCAAACCTGAAGGATGATGAGGCAAAAATAATTGATTCATTGAATTCTTTATTAAGGTTTTATCAAATTCTTGATAAAATGTAAGAGATGTAGGCTATTGAATGGCAGCTACAAATAGAAAAAATAATGGCTTTATCCAAAAACGACCACCTTAAATTAGACTACTGTTCCAATAGTTAAATCTGGAACACAATAAATTGGAACATTCTTATTACATGAGTTATTGCTATGTAAAATATCATAAAGTAAAATTAATTTTACTTTCAAGAAAGCCTTTTAAGGAAGTTATTACTAGTATATTCAGAGACACCAAGTTCAAAGATAAAACTGTACTGAGTTTTCAAGGTACCTTATTAAAAACTGTATTTCTTTCTACTCTCCTAACATAACAAGAAGAAAGTAATTGGGCAGAAAGGAATAGTTTATGTACATTAATTTATATTAAAGTTTTACACAAAAAACTCTTGCGCTGTTATGTCTGCTCTGTGGATACATACTATTTGCTTATTTCAAAGTTATTATAGACAAACCTGTCAACAAATATTTTGAAGTAAAGACCTGAGTCTAAAGGCAGTGTTTACAAATACACAGTAACAGCAGCATAATAAAAAGCAAACAAAGAAGAAAAAGTTTTCATATAAAAAGCAGGGGCTTCTTTAAATTCTCATAACCCCAATAGAAGTTTTAATAAAATTTGGCTAAAAACCTGTAAAGTTTTTTTTTTTTTTTCATTAGGGGAGGAGGGTGGCAAAAATATAACAATATTAGAGCAGAACCTTTTAAACTCATTCAAAAAGTAAGAAACCCAGGGCTTGACAAATATAATAGAACTAGCTTTTAACACAAAGAAATTTACCTGATTGTCACTTTGAGAAAAATACGTAAATTAGAACTAAAAATTTTTACCTGTTCTCCAAAGTGAGTAAAGCAGAGTAAATTTCCATCTACACAGCCAATGCAAATATATTCCAGGCAACACCGTGGAGAAGAGAAGAGTGGTTTTCCACAGCAATGTTTCCAAATTCTATTCCCAGTGGCCTGTTAACCAGCAAAAAACAATTGATGGCATTGAAATCATTCCACTAATCAATTACCTTTTATAAAGAAAATTGCTAAGTCCCCCAAAGGCAAAGCTATAAACACCAGAAAATGCTATAGTGTCTTGCTGACATTACAAATGAAGCTAGTACACATACATACAACAGCTATAAAATGAATCAGTGCTATTTATGAGCGCTAGGCTACACACTTGTAGTAAAACAAGGAAAGAAATAACTACCACATAAGGATCTATCCTTAGGATACCAAGTTCTTAATGTGATTGAGAAAATTCTGCCAAAGTTACAGCATGAAAGACATACATAAGAATTTAGATTTTTACATCTTTCTAGACTTCCTGCTAATCATCCTTAATGAGTTCTGGATGAGTGATATCTAATTGAAAACTTTAAGAATTCAAAGCAAAATAAAAAAATTAAAGAAAGTTGGTAATAAAATCAGTAAATATTATTTTATTTACAGGATTTACAGCCAGTAAAAGTCCTCCTAGAGTAGCAAAATACAAATGATGAGGATTCAGGCTCAAACAAGGAGAAGAAAATATAGTTCCTTCACATTTTAACTTCCAAACACACTTCTTTTCCTGCAAATAAAAAAAAAAAGCATTTTAACCATTTTTTTTGCTGACGGTTATATCCACACATACCATGATACCCTCATGATGTTATGCCTGGTTAATGGAAGCTTTTATATTAAGTATAAAATTCATGCTCATAGAGAATCAATTTAGGGGCCTCCCTGGTGGCACAAGGGGTTAAGTCTCAGCACAATCAAGCTATCTGCAGCCATTGCAGCATGAGTTCAATCCCCGCTGGAAAGCTCACCCACATGGCACAGCAGACCTCTCTTGTCTTGCCCACTGCTCCCCTCGGCAGTGTATTTCAGTAGATCCACCTGTTCTGCTCCCCACTTTGTCTCTGGTGAATCCTCTCACTCCCCGCACCTCTGACCTACATCCCAGTTCTTGTATGCATAAATAAATTAAATAAATCTTTAAAAAAAGAGAGAGAATCAATTTAGTAAAAGGAAGACAAAGGCTACCATCTAGAGATAGCCACTGTTAACGTTTTAGCATTTTCCCTTTTGATCCTTTTGGTACATACACACAGTTTAATAGAGTTGTGATCATTCTGAATATACTTGGTATCTAATTTAGCTCATTTTATAAAACCTTTAAAATATAACTTTAATGCACAAAATTCCATATGAACATGAAATAATTTATCACTGAAAATTTTTTGAAACTGATTTCTTGGTTATTATAAACAACTTGTAAACAAACATCTTGGTGCATATATTTGTTCATTCTTTTGACTATTTTGCTAAGACAGATTCTAAGAATTTAACTGAATTAAAGGCTATGAAATTGCTGCCTTTGGCCAAGTTGCTTTCCTCATTCATTATAATCTCCCACCACTCTCAACAGCATTTAATGTTATCTTTCTGAAACCCTTTGTTTCTCTACTCATAGTTTTTCATTTTCATTCCTTTAATTATTAAAGGTATAAAAAAATTAAATACACTTACTAGTCGTGGTTTTTTTTTTAGGTCCTGTGTATTTATTATTCCTTGTTTACTTTTCTATGAGGGTCTTTATATTCTTAATTTGCTTTGCTCTCTATTTTCATTTATACCTGTGGTTTTTTTTTTTATAAAGTTTTTTTTTTAAAGATTTATTTATTTTTTTATACAAGAGCTGGGGTACAGGCCAGAGGCGCGGGAGGGTGAGCGGATTCACCAGAGACAGAGTGGGGAGCAGAACAGGCAGACGGAACGAAATACACTGCTGAGGGGAGCAGTGGGTGAGACAGGAGAGGTCTGCCTTGCCATGTGGGTTTCTCCATGGCCGGCCAGGAATCGAACCCGCACTGCAGAGGCTGCGAACAGCTTCCCAGTGTTGTGCTCAACCCACTGTGCCATCGGGGAGGCCTTATATCTGTGAGTTTTAACTGTTATATGTTTAAATTTTCCCCCAACTTTTTTTAATTTTATAATTTTGAAATTTTTTTCATTTTTATGAATCAGGTCTTACTAATACTTTCCTCTGTGATTCTTTTCTATTGTTAAGCTCATTCCAAGTTCTAGGGAGTTAAAAATGTCTTAAGATATTAAGATTGCTAGTCAATCTTTTTTTTCCACAATGCTAAACTTGGGAAACAGTTGCTCTCCTAGTCAACTCTTTCATAAGCTGTCAAGTAACTCTTTCATGTTCCTTTATGGTTGTGACATGAGAGTGATGATGTGAGTCCTTACATAAATATCCAGAGCATATGCATGCTGGTCATGAGAACCGACATACAGGAGTCCAGTGGTTGGATCCATGGTTGCTGAGCTTTTGACAGCATTCTCAGTAGTAAACATCCAATATATTTCTCCACTATTACTTTTCAGAACATAAACTAGCCCATTATAACAGCCTGTAGGGAAACAAAATATAAAAGATGAGATTTGGCTATGTCACTGGAAAATAATTCTCTAGCCTGTATCATGATAATGTGTATCTGATGCTCCTTAAGTATACTTGGCTGTATGTTTAGATCAGATTTAAATTTCAGCAATGTAAAGCAAAACCCAAACAGTAATCATTTACATAAAATACCTCTTCAGGACTTTACACAAGTTAAGTACTTGCGGTAAAAAATAAAAACATTTCCATTTTTATTCAAATTCTTGTGTGGAGGGCTGACTTTCAATAGATTGCAGTGAGGGAGCTGCTCTGTAGGAACAAACCCTAATCCAGAAGCAAGTTGTCTCCAAATGGTTTAGCGCCAGATTCCCCACAAACTTGCAAACGTGTGCCTGATGAGTGAGGGGGCTGCTGCCTTTCTAGCCACACCCTGTTTCCTATGACAATTGGCTCTCCACACCCAATACTGCACTCTTTTTTTTTTTAAAGTACCATGTGCTTCACTATTGAGCAAACAAGCACACTATAGTGGAGAGGCTCTGACAGACTTCAATTACATCTCTTCAAATTACCTAGCGTTGCTGAGCCTCATATTCTTCTTCTGCAGAATGTGGACACATCTATTTCAGTGGTTATTGTGATAATACAATGTGGATAAATGCCCAGTGCATAGAAAGGTGGTCTAGAAATGTTAACATTAACAACAGCCAACATTTATCAAGCTTTTACTTTGTGAAGCATGCTATTCTACATGTTAACTCATGCAGTCCTCTCAGTAAAGTGTTATATCCACAATTTATAGATAACAAAAGTGAAGCACAACCATAAAGAGACTAAATTCCTATGGCACAACTACACAGGTATTCTGTGGCAGACCCAGGATCAGCTCTTAAGGAGTCAACTTCCAGAGCCTGTGCTAGAAACTATACCACACTGCCTTTCCTAAGTTGCTGCTACAGATAAGACGATAGGACAGGAATTCCTGACCTTGGTGTTATCAAATAATGTAGGTGGAAGTAGGGGTGGTGAAAATTTACAATAATGATGACTCAAGTTCCCTAGAGTGCAGGTAAATTAGAGGAAGTGGAATTTGGGGGTATTGGTCCACCACTCTGGATGGCTCTGCCTATGGCTATAACCATTGTTGCTTAATTGAGGTCCAATTCTAGAATACTTTGTACTTTTTTTCTGGCAGTTATCACTCAGTAATATGAGAGTAGTCTTCTTAATCACAGCTAAGAGAAATGTCCTACATATTGAAGATGTCAAGATTCAAATGGGTAATGAAAAATTTCTTTCGGATCAGCTCAATTCTAAAGAAAACATAGAAGAAAATCTTTGTGACCATGGTTTAGGCAAAGATTTCCCAGATATGACAGCAAAAGCATGGCCAATTATAAAAGTGATAAACTGGAATTGAAATTAAAAACTTTTGGGCTTCCTTGGTGGCGCAAGGGATTAAGATGCAACCTATGAAGCCACTGAAGCACAAGTTCGATCCCCAGCCAGGGAGGTGACCCACATGGCACAGCACACCTCTCCTGACTCACCCACTGCTCCCCTAAGCAGTGTATTTCATTCAGTCTGCCTGTTCTATGCCCCACTCTGTCTCTGGTGAATCCTCTCAGCCCCCCACACCTCTGGCCTGTAACCCAGTTCTTGTATAAATAAAAAAAAAATAAAAATCTTTTTTAAAAAAGATTAAGAACTTCTCTTCAAAAGAAAATTATATAGTTAAGAGAATGAAAAACATGACACATACTGGGAGAAAACCCATAAAACACATATCTGATAAAAAGAACTTTAACCCAGAGTACATAAAGAATTCCAAAAACTCAGTAAGAAGACAAACCTTAAAAAAATGGGCAAAAGGTCTGAACAAACACATCTTAATTTACAAGGCAAATAAGTTCATAAAGATACTCAGTATTTCATCAACTAGGGAAATGCAAATTAAAACCACAATGAAATGCCACCCATAATTATTTGAATGGCTAAAATACCATTTTATCATACAGCAATTAAATGCTATAAACCTCAAATTCAGAAACTTACCCACTATGATAAAATTTCCACACTTAGATACACATGCTGAGGATTCAATTCGATCTCCCAAAATCTGTTCCCATTTCACCGTCCCAGAGTAAAGGTCGACTGCCGTCATTCGATGAGAATGGGAGCCAATGTACACAGTTGCAGATGACTTAGCAGCAGCTGGTATTATAATCAGAGGTGAAGCATCTACACATTTGCCTGTGTTGGACATCCACCTCACACGTAACTCCATTTTCTCATTTCCTTTCACAGGTATTCCCTTTTCAGAAATTTCTGCAACACAGGATGGGTCCTTTGTCTTCCCAAAAAGAGCTGAAGATTTTAAACTTTTCACATTTTGAATGTTAGTCTGTAAAATTACATCAGAATAGGCTGAAGGGCAATGTTCTAAAAAGCTAGTAGTATTCAGGGATAGTATCTGACTCCCTCTATTTACTGAACAAAAAGCATTTATCTTATCACAATTTAAAGGCATAACTGATTTCTGATGTGAAGATTTTCTACTGGTTTCCTCTTGATTGATGTCACAGAATTTTCTTTTAATAGCATAATTTTTGCTAACTATCAGGTCTTTATCTGGAAACACTGTTTGAACAATGTGATTATAAATTTCTAAAATGGAACTGCTAAGAATAATTTCCAGAAGCCCAGGTACTGATGTGCCAACAAGTTCTTCAATCTCATTAAGGAGCCGTACGGACTTCAAAGAATCTCCACCACTTTTTAAGAAGAAAGACTCATCAGGAAACTTCAAATGATCTTCTGAGAGATTCAGAATAGACTACAGAGAGAAGGGGAAAATCTGGTGAACTAAAGACCTATGACAAAAAGAATTCAACATTTATAGGTAATATAGAGAATAATACCTACAACAATAATATGAACATAATACACACCAATGTTTCTGACAATTAAAATAGGATTATTTTTAAAAAATAGGATTATTTTATTTATTGTAAAGGAGACTATCACAAACTTACTCTAAAATTGCAAAACAGACTTCCCTTTAAGAAGTTTTCTTACCCATAAAATAAGGAATGGAATTACAAAAACATCTCATTTACTAATAAGTGATATTTCTATAATATAGAAATAATATTTCTCTTCATTTCTTTGCATAAATTAAAATTATATTCTAAGAATCCAAAAATGAGGAGGACAAGGCTTTTATCAAGCCTTTATTTTCAGAAAAGACTATACAATTACACCCTCTTTTTAGTACCCTTGAGAGAACTTGACATTTAATCTAAGAAAAATTGAATTGACCTATAGTTGTAGTAAAAATAAATATTTCACAATAAATTATAAAAAATTATTTTTATATATGTATGTACATGTGTGTATATGTGTGTGTGTGTGTATATATATATATATATATAATTTATATAATTCCCTTATGTGGAAATACATGTTACTAAAAATTCTTATGCAATAATAATGTAGCCGCAGACTGTAGTATAGCAAGATTTGGCTGTTTTCCAGCTCTGATAACTATTGTTGCATACACAATGGAATACTACTCAGCTACTCTTGCTGTCTGTGACAACATGGGTGAAGCTGGAGGGGATTATAGTAAGCAAAATAAGTCAGAAGGAGAAAAACAAATACTGGATGGTATCACTTATATGTGAAATTCAGAGAAACAAAACAAAGTATCAGATAAAGCCAAACTTTAAACAAATCCTAGAAATCTGATGGTAGAACTGAGGCTATCAGAGGGGGATGGGGTGGGGCAAGAAAGTGGAGCAGGGGTGTAATGGACTATGCTGGTGGACAGTGGGTGTTTGGTGGTGGGTGTGGTGTAGCAATAACAACTAATCGGGGAGATCCTATACTTCCAAAACACAAAAAATCTACCTTAATAAAAGAGTGTTACAATACTCCCCTCTTTTAGGGAAAAGTTGGGCCAAAATAGGCTTTGTCTGCTCATGCCTTTCATGACTACCTCACTAGCAATAAATTTCTTATGGAGAGTATAACCTCTGCTTACAGCAGAGAACCTAACTCTTGTTTTAACACAAAATGAATAAATGAAGCTATATTATTTAACATCTTGTAAGCAGTAACATCCTTATAATTCCCCAAAGTTATTAAATATCACTTTGTTGTTATCTTTATCTTAAGAGTTATACCTTCCACAAATGTTGTAATTTTTCCCATAGTTCATCTTTTCCATTGAGCTTTCTCTCAGACTTCAACTTTATGGAGTTTAAATAAATCTTGTTTAACTCAGAAACATCAACTTTGCCTTAATATAAAAAGAAATAATTTTAAAATTTTAGTTTAAACTTTTTATATCTTCATTAGTCATAAGCATATACATATTTTTCATTGTAGATATTAGAAATCCTATAGAATAGTTTGTCATAGGTAAGCAGTTTTAAAGAAAGTAGTCCCGTGTGACCAAGAGTATGGTGGGTAACAGATAAGAGGAAAGGAGGAACTTATGTTTATCTCACTTAAAGAGCTACAGAAATGATACTATTAACTGAGCAATTACTGCATTTTAATTGCAGTAACTAAATATTTATTTAACTAAATATTAAATAAAGATGAAACGGGGGATACAATATAATATGGTGATTAAAAGCGTATGCTTTGAAGTCAAATAGTGCTAGACATAATTTTTACTTGACTACTAATCAAGTAGAAGATCTGGAAAATTACTAAACTTCTTTAAGCCTTACTTCCACATCTGTAAATAGGAATACAACACCATGTACTTACAAGGCTTTCTGGAGATAAAATGAACTAATTATACAATGCATTTAACAGAGGGTCCACCACAATAAACACTAGTATTACTAATAGTAATAAGGACGCAAGTGTCTTTTAAACTAGTTACGAGTACAATGAGTATCATTTAGCTCTGAAACATATCTGCTTCAAATCATTTTACCATGAGATGTAAATGGAAGAGACTCAATCAACACAAGCTCATCTGGGATTGCATGACTTGGAAGACGCTCCTGTAGTTCTTTAAAGATGTAATCCTTTACTAAATCATTTCTGGACACCATAAACAGAACTAATTTTTCCTGATTATACCATATAAGCGCACAAGACTCCACTTGCTGAAGTCCTTCAGCAGCCTATAAGAGAGATTATCCCAAATTACCAGTGAGGACGTTTAAAAGCAAACTTCCTAAATGCTGAAACTTATGTTCGAAAATACACTCAAATTAAATTAAGGACTATGCTAGAGATTTGCAAAAAAAATTGTTTGCTACAGTTATTATTACCAGCACTCAAAGCTCTTAGTGTCTTTCAAAAAGAATAGCTTCTCAAGCAAAAAAACCAATTTATTTTCAAAGTTACCAAAATCCATTGTGTCACTTATTTAAAAAACTCTCTTTTATGTGAAAATTAAGGGATACATTGAATTATCCATACCTTTTAATGTAATTTATCATTAATTAAACAAATCTAGATTTAAATAGAAACCTGGCACAGAAAATTGGTGGTGGCTGCCTCTTATGTATATTAATAGAAATTTAATATTTAAGTAGTTCTACCTGTTGTACAAGTTCAAGGCTAAGACGTTTGCCATGGCGTTTGATCTGACTGTCCTTTCGTCCCAAGAAAAACATCTTTCCATCTTTCACTGTCACAAAGTCTCCTGTGGCTCGCATTGTGCCAAGTGGTACTGTCATTTCATCATCAAGAAAACATACTCTGTTTTTGCCACCTTCATGAGATATAGACACCAATGTAATGAAACTACATGGAAAACATATTAAAATCCACCAAATTAAGAACATCTCCAAAAGTTAAATTACTAAGTTTCAAGTTTTGAATATTTATATGAAGAGGAAGACACTTCTAAATGTCACCTGATTAGAGAGCAAAGAGATAAATTATTTCTAAGAATATATTTGTGATTAAAAAATTCTTATACTATGATTAAATAGAATTTTGTTTGTATATAAAGGCACAAGTTATAGTTTCCAAGTTACTTTTATAACTTCTCCTAGAGTACTAAACATTAATATCTGAAATAATTATGGTAACTTACTAAATGTTTCATAACTATGTAGATGAAGTTAAAAATATCACATGAAAGAATACTGGACATAAGAAAAATTGGGGAAAGAATATAATTAACATATCAGATTTTTTTCTTGAAAATAAAAATCCCAATCAACAAATATAAAACCACCTAAATATACTTGGCCATTGCCTTCTTGAATTGTGAAACCATTAGTATCTCTGACTTCAACTAATGTTCCAAGCAGTGGAAATCCCAGTTGTACAGGCATTTCACATCTATGAAAAACACAATAATCCAAACCAGATTAAAAAATTTACATTTGAATAGAGTATTTTCCAATGTATTTAAATCACATTGTAACAAATAAAGTCTGTGTTGTTATAAAGGTTATCATATATATTATTCATTCCTGTCTAGTCACAAAACCTTCTAGCAGAGTCTGTAACACCAATTACAATAAGAAAGGTTGTGAATTCCCAACTTGAAATTCTAGATAAAATAGTGTTTCTAAAATTATTACCCTGGTACTTATCAAAAACACCATTAGTGTTAAGATACTGGTAAAATACACGTTTGCTCTACCCTACTTAGTAAGTGAAACCCTTACTTCAAAGAAGAGTTAAGAATCTTCTCTGGAATCCTATAAAAAGTTGCCCAACTTGATACTTCTGTGATACCATAAACATTAAATATTTGAGTTTTATTGTCTTCTCCTCTCCAGCTTTTGAGAACAGTCAATGATGGAAATGCTTCACCACCAAGGGCTAATACTCGAAGAGAAGTATTGGTTGATAAAACAGTAGACTTTATAAGCTGAGCTCCAAATCTTCTAAGCAACGTAGGTGTTGCCTGTAGATACATTAAAAATAATTACTTTCCCTTACATTTTTAAAAAGGCAAACACCATAATGATTACTTTAAAACTTAACTTTGGGAGCCCACAGGGAAATTAAGTCTTGTCAAATGTCAAATTATATGTGGAAAATTACTAAGGCAGCATTATCTCTTTAATGTATCTAAGCTCTTTATGCAAAAATGTTATACTTTATTATGTAATTTAGACTAAAGATAAAAAGGAGAAAAATCTGTAATCAATTCATATCTTTTCCCCAGGATCTCTAGAAAAAGTATATAAAAGGATTAAAAATGTGCCTAAGCCAAACAACATGAAGATTATTTTTTTATTTTTTTAAAGATTTATTTATTTATGCATGAATATTTTTAAAAACAGCTTTATTTAAGTATAACTGACATACAATAAACTGTAAAATATAAACATATATATTTATGAAATACGTACCCTCCAGTGAAACTATTACTATAATGTAAACATCCTTCATCCCTGAAGTTACCTATGTCCAATCACAGTTCTTTCCTCCAACTGAACCCCTTCTGCAGACAATCACTGATCTACTTTCTGCCACTAATGTTCAGTTGACATTTCCTATAATTTTATAAAAACGAAATCATATACCATGTATTCTTTTTTGCCATGGCTTTTTAAAAAAATATTTAAAATGGCAGGTTTATTATAAAAAGGGAAGTAAAAGATGCTTGCACAGACACAAGCAGGCAGAAAGAGCTAACCCCTAAAAAGGACAGGTTTGTTAGAAGACATGCCTGCATAGCCACAGGCAGGCAGGAGAGCTGCTGCTGACCTGGCTCCTTTTACTCAACATAAATACTTTGTAATTATACTCCTTGCATGATTATACTCCTTTCATTTCTTATTTTCTTAGTCTATCCAGGCTGCTAAAACAAAATACCATAGATAGGGTAAGTTATAAATAATACAACAAATTTATTTCTCACAGTTGTTGGAGGCTAGAAGTCCAAGATCAGAGTGCCAGCATGTTTGGGATCTGGTTATTTTTTAGGTCACAGACTGCCAACTTCTTTCTATGGCTTCACAAAGTGGAAGGGGCAAAAGAGATGTACAGCGTCTCTTTCACCAGGGCATCAAATTCACTCAAAAGAGCTCTACTCTCATGACCTTTAAAAAGGTCCCACTTTCTAATACCAACCTATTGAGCATTAAGATTTTAACATGAATTTGGGACATACATTTAGACCACAGGACATTTTATTGATGAGTGTTATTCATCAGGATTCAGCCCATGATAATCCAAATTAGACTATCATTAATTAGTCCACTGAAAAGAACCACTGGAATATAAAATATTCTTTAAAACACTGAAAATGATGAATAAGGAAAGACAAAACATTTCATTTGATCTTAAAATATACCTGCAAAATAGTCACTTGGTGATGGGAAAAGAGAACAGCAGCTAATTTTGATGGGAGCACTTTGACAGAAGTTGGTACAATAAGTAAAGAGGCACCACTTGATAGAGCAACAAACATTTCCACAACAGAAGGATCAAAGGTCAGAGGTGATGCCAGAAACAAAATATCTTCTTGAGTGATCTCAAAAAGTTCCCTAGGCAAAACAGAAAGAACACAGAAGTGTCTAATATTTGGTAAACATGTACTGGAAAAAATTATTATATACATTAAATTTTTGATGTTAGCCAGATTTTATTCTTCTCCCTTAGATTAACCAAAATGGTACTATTATTTTAGAACTCTTCTTTATAAAAGTAAGGATTGACAATTGATTTGCATCTTCATTCCTTATGAAGGAAAACACGTATTAAATAAATTTGTATGCTTTCTCCTGTTAATCTGTCTTATGTCAATCTAATTCTCAGGTCCATCCAAATGGACACTAAGAGAAGGAAAAAGTGTGCCTTCCCTTTAATGAGCTAGCTACTTCTTTTGTAGGCTCTCATATGTTTATGAACAAATTTTTTTTCTCCTCTTAATCTATACTTTGTCAGTTTAATTCCCAGGTTCCCAGATACTGAACCTAAGAGGATAGAGGAAGTCTTTACTTTCAAAAATAGTTATTTTTTTATATTTGTAAAAAATTTACACCTATTTCTTCCTTTGATTTCCTAAGACTACTCCCTTCTGGGAGTAGTAGTACTGGTTCCTTCCTCCTCTATTTCCTTCTTTTTTCTCAAGTTAAGAATCTTTATAAAAATTTCTCATCTCAAGCCATAACAGCAAACCAAACTCCAAAATGTTAGAGAGGTGAACTGCAAGTGAATTACAGAAGAAATGCACATCTTTTTAAAGACTTTGTCATCTATTCGATTAAGTGGAAACTTCAACAGGGCATACCCGGCTTCTGCTGCCTCAGATCACATGGCTCCTGCCTCCCTTGGTTTCCTGAGCTCTCCCCTTAGCAAGAACTTAGCAAGCCAAGTTCTTTCTTTCATATCTGGTGCCTTTTCCAGGAATATGCTTTCTCCTTTCTATTAATAATTAAGATGCAAAGCTTCAAATCATATCATTTACTTGGCTCCAGGTCTGGGTCAAAGAGGTGAAGCCCTAGCCCACAAAAAACAAGTTCAAATATAGCTGAAACAATGACATAGCACTATTGGTTTAGGAACAAGAGTTATAAAGAAGAGTTTTTTTGTATTTCTTTTTTTCTCTTAAAACACAAGTTTTGAAGGTTTCTAATGTCAGAACTCACCGAAAATGCTGGATGTTTGGCACTATACATGCATGAGGGACTCTGACAATCTTAGGTACCCCCGTGGTGCCTGATGTATGCAGAACATAAGCCAAGCAATTCTTTTGCCTCACATCTAGGTGTTCTTCTGACTTTTCTTCATTGCTCTTTTCAGAACTTGTGCTGGTTGCTATTTTTTCTTTTTCATATTTTTCTTTTCTGTCAGTTAACATCAAGCTCACCTCATCATTTCTCCAGTTAAGTCTGAAGAGTACTAGATCATTATGTTCCACTGTAAACATATCACATATCAGTAATGTTCCATAGGAAGATTTGAATTTCTATGTTAGATGAGGAAAAAAGTTTATAATATTAATGTTAAAAGACATTCTTTTTTATACAGAAATATGACATCTCCATTTACTAATTCAAAATGGCTTTTTTGTGTGTGTACTTGCTATATATTCAGGAATAAAAAGATAAATAAGAAGCTCCCAACACAAAAACACTAGCCTTATTTTCAAACTCACTTTCAAAATAGAGATGTATAAAAACACATAACAGCAGTCAATGTGGTTAATGTGATAACGAAATATTCTTGAAATGTTAACAGGAACAAAAGAGGCTGAACTTAACTCTACCTGAAAAATCAGAAATTGACTGTTCATAAGTAATATTTGTATTATAAGTAGGTATTTTCCAAATAAGGAAGAGAGAGGTACTTGAGGAAAATAGCCAATATAGAGTATCTAACCTGACAAAGCTGGTGTTAACAGAGACCATTAAGCTACTAAGCATTGCAAGTTGCAGAATTAGGGGAGAGGTAAGTGAGTTGTGTTATGGATAGATGAGCTGCTAATCCTTAATAACTTCATGACTCATTACTAAGGGGTTGAGTTACCTTAACCTGTAAGTGATGAAATTCCATTAACTAGACTATACTGTGTCACGGACAGATTGATAAGAGTCATTTATTTAATAAACCTCTGTAACAATTCAAATATGCTGTACGGGTGTGAATTAGACTTTTATGACAGAACTGGACAGAACTGGACCAAAGGGTCTGTAAGCAAAGAAATGAACAAATATAAAATTTTCTGGGTATAGTATGAGCCTGAATTTCTGGCTCAGATTTGAGTGCATGGAGATAGATTAATACATACATTTGGAAGAAAAGATGTAAAATTCAGTTTGTACATGCTAAAAGTGAGAATCCTTTGAATATACCTTTTTAGGTTCACAAAAAGCAGCTTAATGAAACAAAACAAGTTTTTTACATTAAAGAAATCAATAAATGGGGTGGATGAATTGAGTCAAGGGTGTCAATTGTATGATGATGGATAGAAACTAGACTTTTAAGTGGTGACGATGATGTAGGATATACATATGTTGAATTATAATGCTGTACACCTGAAACATGTATTGTTATAAATCAGTGTTACTTCAATCAAAATTTATTAAAATACATTACATATTATACATATAACACGTTATATAAAATGTGCATGTGTGTGTGTGTGTGTGTGTGTGTGTGTGCTTATGATGTTTTCTATTTGTTGTGTGTGTATTAGGGGTAAGGTGTGATGTGGCTTGTAATATCAAAAAATTAAGGACCAACATATTCTTTTTTTAAAAGATTTATTTATTTATGCATACAAGAACTGGGGTACAGGCCAGAGGTGTGGGGGCATGAGTGGATTCATCAGAGACAGCGTGGAGAACAGAATAGGCAGACTGACTGAAATACACTGCTTAGAGGAGCAGCGGGCAAGACAGGAGAGGTCTGCTGCGCCATGTGGGTAGCTCCCTGGCCGGGAATGAACTCATGCTGCAGTGGCTGCGGATAGCTTCATAGGTTGTGTCTTAACCCCTTGTGCTATCAGGGAGGGCCACACGATGTAAACCTTATAAGTTCCAGAGTACTAATCATTTTTCTGTGGCTACATTATGAGCAGTTGGAGGGCAAGTATCATGTTCTAGGCTTCTTTCACATATAAATGTCTTTTTTTTTTTTTTTTTTTTTTTAAATAGAGGCATGTTTTATTTATTTATTTATTTGTTTGTTTTGTTTTATACATGCACTGGGTACAGTCAGAAGCGCGGGAGGGTGAGAGAATTCACCAGAGCCAGAGAGGAGAGCAGAGCAGGCAGAAGGACCGAAGTACACTGCTGAGGGGAGCAGCGGGCGGCAGGAGAGGTCTGTGCACCATGTGGGCACCATGTGGGACCCTCCTCCGGTGGCCGGGGAGCAGCCGGGAATCGAACCGGCGCCGCAGAGGCCGCGGGCAGCTTCGCAACCCAGCGCTCAACCGCTGCGCCACCGGGGAGGCCCTCACATATAAATGTCTTACCATACAACTAATCTCACCAGGATTTCTCAATTTCTACAGTACTGACATACTGGACCAAGTCTTTGGAGGGAGCAGTATTGTGTCTTGTAGATTTTTAGCAACATCCCTGGCCTTAAACCACTTATTGCCAGTGTACCCCAATGCCTTTATGACAATAAAATATATCTCTATGCATGACTGAATGTTTCCTGTGAGGCAAATCACCCGCAGCTGAGAATCACTGCCCTTGTGGGTGCTGGCTCTACTGCAGATGCTCGATAAATATTCCGAAGTTAAGTGAGAGAAGAAACTGATACCATCATCAAAGTGATAGACCAGGAAGCCAGCTATTTTCTATGGAATACTGCTATATGATCAACTCCTTCCTACAGTTATAAAGAAAACCTTGATATTGACAATTTTAACACTTGACCTCCTCTTTCATAAAACTTTCAGGAAGGTTGTTAAAATAAATGAATGTCACATCCCCATTTTAGCTTTGCTTACATCAACAACAAAGGAATAATCAATTTAAAGAGAATAGAAAACTCTGGCCAGGAACTAAAATGTTTATTTAGAAAACATTTATTAACCAAGTGAATACTTTGTCTCTTTCTGGAGGCCTTACTCTAATTTCCATGATTCCCTAGGAAGTCTTCTTAAGCTCTTAATACTTAGAATTGCTATAAAAAACAGATAAAGTTGCATATACATATAAACACAAAGGTGCAACACATTTAAGTTACCCTCAAATATAAATTGGTTCAGACAGGAAATGGGTAAAAACAAGCTAAACTGAATATACTTTCTACAATGTTTTTCCTTTCTTTTTGGTAAAACAATATTTTACAAATAAGAAAAAAATAGTAATAAAGAATGGGCTGCATCGTACTGAACATGTAATATCAATTCTTGCTCCTAAAGCATTTCTCAGCTAGATCTTTAGTTGGTAGACACTTATAAGTAAAAAAAGTAAATAAATAAATTTAGTTTTCCAGAAAACCGAAAAAAGCTCTGGTCTAAGTGTCCTAAGTGCCAATCTTGTTTCAAAATCTAAGCTTGAATCTAATCTTTAAATCTAATTCTTTATTATTACTGACCACTGTAAATTGCCATAGATAACAAAGAGAAAAACTTCAATTATTATAAAACTTCCCTAGTATAGGGACAACTTTGGAAAGAGTAAGGACATTTAAAACAATACACAATACCTTATTATAATGGCTATAGGTTCATGCCAAATAGCATAGCTTCTCAAACTCTGTGAACGGACAGTGCCTCCAGGCCACACTTGGCAAGGTCTGGAGCACAAGCTTTATCCCACATTGTGCCACAAAAAAAAAGTGGTTGTCACAACTGGTGGGCATGGAGGGTGCTATAGGCATCTTGTGGATGGAGACCAAGGATGCTGCTAAACATCCTATATATACAGAACACTCCTCAGAACAAACGATTACCCAGCTCATGATGCCTACAGTGCTGAGACTAAGAAATCCTGCTGAATTAGTAAATTTAGAAAATGAGAAACTCTGCTGCATTAGTAAATTTAGAAATTTACCTTTCAGTTGAAAGATAAATGTAACACACACACAATTTAAGTACTTACATGAATTTGCTGTTTTTCAACAAGGATATACTCTAAGTTACATTTTTTCATAAAATGAGTTGATAATGCTGGTGGTGAATCTGGATCAATAGGAGCATAAGCAGCAGGGACTTGGAGGATTCTAAAGAAACAAAGTACAAAGTCAGCATACAGTATCTGTTGACTATAATCTAACTTGAAGCACTTTTATTTTCTTATGTATTTCACTATTGGCTTTATCAAAAATTGCAAATGCTTTTGTTGACACACCTTTGGTTATGTTTATTTTGTTTTGATCTTAAGACAGTATCTCGGGGCTCCAGAACAGAAAGGTTTTGCCTAATCCACAATGGTAAGACACCCCACATAAACTTTTTAAATCCCAGATCCAGATATTTTTAGCTCAGAGGCCACAGGCAACTGGATGGTCCTCTGTTTCTTTATCTGTAAAATGAGACCTTAATGATATAGCCTAATTGGGTTGGTGTAAGGATTAAGTGAGCATAGAAGGAACCTGACTCTTAACACTGTTAATGTCACATTTATCTCCTATGCCTTTGGATCACTCAAACTGAAGACACACTAGGAGGGGAAGAGACCCACCCATAACTCTATTCCACATTGTGCCACAAAATCCTCCTGAAGAGCCATACCATCCTCCTGAAGGACATAACATATTCACAACACATATAATGAATCTAACACACATATTATGGGATGAATATAAATTTCTCTAATTCTTTAGCAGCTCTTATTTTCCACAGAACCCTAACACAGAAATCACTATGTGAGGATAATATTCTAGAACTTAAATAATTGAACATTTTGCAAATATTTTTTGACTAGCATCTTCCTCTATTCGTATCTCAATTTTATAGACTTTATTCAAAGGTTTCATTTATTCATTTATTGAATACTTAAGCACCTAAAACTTCAGTCTCAAAGGGGAAACCATAGGCATATTATTTCTGAAATACTTGTTTTCTTTGATCTAAAAACAGAAATTATAACTATTTTCCTTTAGCAGACAAAAGATGGCCTTTTGTTTTAGAGATATTTACATGTTCTACTATTAGTGAAAATCCAGTCTTCCTCAATTAGTTCAGATTAATTAATAATTATATATAATTATAAATATAAAATTATAAATATAAAAATTATAAATTATAAAAAATTATAAAAATTATAAATATAAAGTATGTAATTAATAATAATAATTAATAATTAATACATTCTGTATATTAAAGAATTGTCAATTAGTTTAGAGTAATGCCAAATTTTTAGTTCCACAAAGTATTACCCTAAAATCCAAGAGGGTAAGTTTATTCCAGGATGGCAGTAGAGACCAATTTCCCGAATTCCTTGAAAATCACAGTGTAATAGTAGAAAATCTGATAATTCTGAAGCTATATTCACCACAGTCTTGTAGGTGTAGTAAACTGGAGCCTGGTTGTTACAGTTGTCAAAACATACAGCCGTTCTATTAGAGTAAATGGAGGCAGCCTGGTGCACCAATTCCTGAAGAGTCATTTCACTGAAGTTTACCTAAATATCAAAGAACTCTACCTATAATACAGGGATGTTAGGGGGACAGAGAGAGAAAGAAACTTCAGTATACTCCTTCAAAATCAAATTACATCAAAGATACATACTAAATAACTTCTTTATTTATGAACTATCCATGATATATTTGCAGAGCTTGAGGTTGAAAATTAATCTAATACATTAAACTAATACTGAATCAGAGCTGGAAAAAAGTTGGAAGTGTTATATACAGATTGGGATAAAACAGGTAAAACGAGAATTATGCCTCAAGTGACCATAATGAAAAAAATACATATGCAATATATATTTATATGAAATTAACCAATAAAACTAAATTTAAACTAGCACGTGTATAATTTTTTCATTTTTTGTTCTTAATCAGATTGATTAAGTGGCTAAAATCCTGTATGATAACTTTGAAAAGACCAATGGAAATAAGTTTGCTTTTAAGAACTAAACTTTGATGAAAACAAAATCAAATTTGATAGAAAAAAGGAAAACTCTACCTACATCAAATTTTAGCCCACTAAATATAAACTGCTAATAACTTTATTATAATACTTTACAGAAGTCCTAGTAAAGTCACTTATATAATTGTTAACATGTAACTTCTTTATATTCTAGTTTACTTGATTTTTTAAGTCATTAAATTAATTTAAATTTAAACTCCAAATATAGTATTACAACTCTATAAAGCATTGTATCAATACAGTGTTCTCTTGGCTTTTTAATGCAGATGGTAAAAAAAAAGTTCTGAGATAATATTTTATGGAAGAAATTTCAGAGATCACTGATAGCAAAAACCCAAACTAGTCTTTCCTTAAAGGCAAAGATGATTTTCCACCCTTTGGAAATGCTATTTTCCAGATTTCAAAGCAAATAAGATTTATCAAGTAGCCTATGTTAATTACACAAGTTTCTAAAAAATTGTTCATACTTATTTGAACTGGTTTCCCTGATTCCAAATAAAATTAACTTTCATCCCCTGAGAAAAGAAAAGCATTCCTAAAAGAAGCAAAATAAAACAGTAACTGCTGAGACACATAAGGCTTGGAAATGCTATGATTTTGTGAGTTTAAAAATATAAGAACTCTAGTCGTCACAGTGTTTCTTTTTAGTAAGCACTTCAAATACTAGCTCTTTTTTTCTGATACACAAGATAAAAATGTTAAGCTTTTTTTATATACACAAATACACTTTGCAGAGCATACACCAAAATTGTTTTGCAGGATATGATGAGTGCAGAAGAGTACCCTTTCCCCATCATGAATAATGAATTGACTAATCTACAGGATGTATTATACGAAGGTATTTTAACAAAAATGTCCATGTGCAAGAAATCCAGTTTTTAAATGCAAAGACACATGCAGTGGAAGACAATATGTTATACCAAAATTATCTGACAAAGAGGCAAGATTATACAGTGAATTCTTGAAATTTTTATGACAAATTATAATAATCACTACACCTATCTTTACTATTGGTTTTCTACTTTTAATGCCAGTTTCCCAAGTAACTGACAGAATTAAGATAAAATGTATTCTTGTCTAAAGTTTTCACTTTCACTACTTGAATCGTACATTGTCTCCAAAAGAGAGAATATCGTAGTTAGTGGATGACTAAAACATTTCTAGGAACTTATAAGGGAAAATAAACAAAATCTGGCAAGAGATTTCATGAAATAGAATCATTCAGTTTAAGCACTGTCTACTTTATTTACAAATGTAGAAAACTGCTGATTATTAGGTCTTAAGAGTCAACAAATTTTATCGCTTTGGGGATTCTCCCTAGATTATTGACTATTTTACAGACGGGTAAATGATCAAAGACTTTATTTTCAGTATACACCGGCATAACTTACATTATGCAAATACGTTTAATAACAATGCACGCTAGAGCAAGCACTTCCAAAACAATTCTTCCAGTGGCTCCTCCAAAACCAAGGTAGCGGGTAGGCCGGGCGGTCTTATTTCCATCCCAATGAAAGAACAGAAGGTGGCAGGAGACTGTGCAGAGATCACACAGGTCAGTCTGGGCAACAGACCAACCCTCCAGACACCACCGACTCCAGCCCGAGGTCAGGCGGGGTGTATGAAATCGATCAAACCTGCGCGCAATCAGCTTCAGAGCCCCGCCGGACACGGCCTCCTGCTACGACTCACTCAAGTGGTCTGGAGGGTTGCAGGAGAGAAACCCAACCCATCGCGACCTTTTCTCAACAGCCCGAGTCGAAAGTAGCTGCCGGCCCCTAATCGTTTAGCCGTCGGGACCTACCGCGCTGAGTCCTCCGAGAAGCCTCCGCGGCGCCGTGCTGATGACGTCACACGAGCGACCAGGGCCGCCCCGGAAGCTCAGGCGCCAACCTGAGACCTGGCGAGTTGCGTTTTCCCTGTCTTTGGCGCAGATGCTAGTTCTGATCTCGCTAATTTGGGTAAGAATTTGAGAGCACTTTGGAAATGATGGGCTTGATGCCTTGCCCTTTTGTACCTGTCAGGAAATTCTGGGCAGGATACTTTATAATTCTGAGCCTGGGTCTTCTCGTTCACAGCGTGGGGATATAGATTACGTTAGGGTTGATGTGAACTTGAAATACTGGCGTTGACCTCATCTCTTCGACATTTTCTGAGAACCTGGCCCAGACTGGAGGAGACTGTCGCAAAGGCCCTGTGATAACTAGGCTCATATTTTAGTTAGTTAGGTAAAATATACACCGGAATAATGGGTTTCCAAGAATTAGTACAGTTGGCGATAATGCAAGTTATTACAAGTGCTAAGGGCAATAGTGACTTTTCTAAGCGGTAGTAAAAGAAATGATTGGGGTTGTGAGAAGGACTGAAAAGGCAGCCTAGCATCGACCATACGTGGAAAGTCACAGGATGCTTTCCTGTCCTTAGGTGTTGGTGACAATAAACTGCACCAGTAATTCAAACATGTTACTCCCACTTGCCTTTGAGATTTTCACCCAAGATGGATCACAGGCTAGTCAAACTATTTATATATATATATATATATATATATTTGGGGGAGGGGAGTCTTGGGTGTTCTTTTAAACATTATATCCAATTACACCTAATGGCTCCAGCACCAGTATATTGCCTTCAAGTCTGTGATGGTGTTAAAAAATGCAGAGGGTTCTGGTTCTAGTGAGGGGCCTATAATCTTTATTTTAAAATGCTATCCCCACTACGGTGTCATTAGGATATCACATTTTAATGAAGCAAATTCAGTGATGAACGAAGAGTACAAGGTCTCCTTTGTGCAATCATTTCCCATTCTGTCATAATGTAGGGAGTACAGCATTATGGTGGATCCTGTGAGAAATTCCAGAAAGGTTAAAAGCACTGGTTAACGCTATGCAAAAGTTCAGGTACAGGAGACAATTTCTGCAGGCAAACATAAATTTACCTTGCATACGTTAAAATATCTAAGGAGCATGCAATTTTTTCCTGAAAGGCTTAGATTTTCATTCTGACCTCTTAAAAAAAACAAAGGCAGTTTTCCTTAAAGTTGCTATGTTCTATTTGAAATTCAAAGAAAGGCATTTTAGAGATTCAAGTGTTGTGCCAGGCAAGATCTTGAGAGGCATTAATATTAATATGATGGAATGGATTGTCTACCTGTTAAAGCAGAGTTTGCTAATTCCAGGGGCAGGAGAAAGATAATGTCTAAAATTGTTATGTAAGAAATAGTACAGGGCTAATTATTTAAAACATAGAGATTACTAACAGAAAGACTTAAGCGTGAAGTCACTAGAATGGAGAAGCCCACAACCTCTTTATTTTCTAACTTCTAAAGTACATATATGTATTATTTTGATTATATTTTGTTTTCTAGCAGTGGGGCCCTGGTGTTTTTATTTTTTACAGCAGTTTTAAGTTCACAGCAAAACTGGGCACAAGATATGGAATTCCCATACACCTCTTGCCCCACCCTATTCAGTCTCCCCACTAACATCCCCCACCCAGAGTGGCACATTTGTTACAGCTAATGATACTACACTGACACATCATTATCACCCAAAGTCTATAGTTTACCTTTTTACCTGAGGGTTCATTCATGATTACACATTCTATGGATTTGGAAAAGATATAATGACATGTACCCACATTATGGCACCGTAAGGAGTAGCCACAGTGCTAAAAATCCTCTGTGCTATACCAACTTAACCCCTTCTTCTCCCTAAGTCCTGGCAACCAGTGATCGTTAGTTTTGCCTTTTTTATAATGTCAGAATTGGAAAGAGAATATGTAGCTTTTCAGATTAACTTCTTTGACTTAATAATACTGCATTTAAGTTCCCTGACAACCTTCCCATTCTTATTAGTGTTTCCACAGATCTTGCCACTATCATAGTGCTTATTTAGTACTGCATTTCCAATTATTTTACTTATTTGTCTTTTCTACTCAGTCAACACTGCCTGGTTCATAAAAGATGGCCTACTTATTGAAGTGTTTGGATCAGAGAGATAGGATCTAAATCTGACCAAGCAGTGCCAAGTGAATGGATGTGACTGTCTCCGTATATCGTAATGCACTAACTAAAAAATCACTATTAAAAAAAGTATACACGTGGGCCTCCCCGGTGGTGCAGCGGTTGATCAAGAGCTGGGTTGCGAAGCTGCCCGCAGCCTCTGCAGCGCCGGTTCGATCCCCGGCTGCTCCCAGGCCACTGGAGGAGGGTCCCACATGGCGCGCAGACCTCTCCTGCCGCCCACTGCTCCCCTCAGCAGTGTACTTCGGTCCTTCTGCCTGCTCTGCTCCCCGCTCTGGCTCTGGTGAATTCTCTCACCCTCCCGCACTTCTGACTGTACCCAGTGCTTGTATAAATAAATAAATAAATAAATAAATAAATAAATAAATAAATAAATAAATAAATAAATAAATCTTTAAAAAAAAAAGTATACACGCATTTAAACATACTTATTACTTATGTCACCACACATCACAATGAAGTCACAATAAGGTAGGCATGGCTTAGTTCATAATATAAATCCTGTGAAAACATTTTTCATCTTCTTTGCACTTTCAATAATTTACTCATAAATTTAAAGCAGATACACATTTGAGATTGAATTGGTAAAAGATTATAATTCAATTCAGACTTCAGAAATTTGGAAATGAAAGACCATGATGGAGAAACAGTAACAAATTTGTAGATTAACAAACAGTCATAGTATCATTTTCCTTTATTAAAGCATTTCAATAAAACAAAGTAGAATCCATGAAAAACAAAACACAAAAGTCAAATTAGAGATTTTGGTTTAGTACTTTCCCTGAGTCTCTTATTTGTAAAATCAAATGTAAGTAAGGCCCAATCAAAATTGACCCACAGGTCTTCCCTCCTCATGCTGCTATGAGGAATACACTTAAGAGGCTATACTTGCAAATGGTCCCAGGGGGTTATTCAAATGTCAATCTACTTGTGTCAACTTCCACAGGGTTATCTGAACTTCTGCTGCCTGCCGCACAGGGCCTTAAAGAGCTGTCAAGATTTAATCTTAACCTTCTATGATGTCACATGTGAGACTATATACCAGATGATGAGATTTCAGCTGTTAATAAATATTAAATTTCTAAATGGGTTTGGATGCTATATACATCAAATACATCAAATAAAACAGAAACACTGTCATGTTTTAAAAACCTTACATAAACAGGGATGGATGGGGGCAAGTCATCTTAAAACTTCAAATCTTAGACGTTACAAGAAAAAACTTCAAAAAAGCCTAATACATTAGATCCCAGTAAGATAAAATAGAAAAAAGCAGTTAAGCTGTTGCTTGGAATTAGATGGGCATACTCACTCATTTCAAAAAGGTAGCTGTGTCCTTGAACTTTAAAACAAAATTGGCCCCTAAAGTGTTTCCACTTGGTAATTTAATTTCAATGATATGTATTTATTTATATATATATGCTTGCAAGTGATGAAGCACTTCATTTTAAAAAAGCATGTAATTAATCAAATTAAGAATAAAAGGCCTGTTAGAATCTAAAAACTGATTTTTTATTTCAAGTGACTAAGTTACTTCCTAGACTTACACAAAAGGGCACTAAGTAATATGTATCATACTTTCTAGATGAACATAGAAAATTCTTTTTGACAGACATGTTTTTACAACCATTCTTAGGGCATCTCAAAAAGAGATGGCAAAGGGCTGCCAAACTATGTCTCCATCTTAAGAGAATCTCAATTATTGACAGTCAACATCCCAAAAGCTAATAATCATGCACTATCTTAAAATTTTGGGGTAAAATGGTGGCCTTAACTACCAAATGTATATGACACATTCACTTAATTATTTAATAATGTAAGTATCCCATTATACAGGTGGGGGAAGTGAGGCACAAAAAGGCTGTTTTTTTTGTTTTTTGTTTTTTTGCCCAGGGTTAGATAGGAAGCCAAGGTCAGAACTATAATGAGAACTCCAGATGTCAAACACCTTTGAGGTATAATGGATTCAAGCTTTGCATGAAATGTTGTATTTAACTCACCTGTCCAGTTTGTACTACACAGTCTCATCTTTTGCACTCTTTAAAGCACGGACCTGGCAAGTACCATTAACCCATTTGCCTTCTCTGAACAAGTGAAAAAGGTTAGCCAATGCTTGTGTAAAAAAGAATATCAAATATTATTGTAATCTACGCAATTAGCAAGTTCAGTTATGAAAATATTCCATAACTGAATTTTAGAAACTCAAAAAATATTCTACAAAATTCTGAGAATTTTGTACCTGGCAATTCCCTCTATTCTTTGCATTACTGTTGATGATCTCAACCTAAAGATATATGATATCGTAACTGGCAGCCTCAAAGTACTAAACTACTAGATAAAACTGAAGATCCTCCAAGTTCCTAGATAATGCCAAAATATACATCTAGGATTTATTAAAGAAAGAATAGCACTTTGGTACTCTTCAGAAAAAAAAATTTCAAAAATTTATAAAGGTAAATTATACACACATGGCATTTTACACTGTACCAACTGAGTAATAAAAAATGAATAGGTGTAACAACTGTAACTTCTCCACCAGCTTTATCTTGAAACATCAAGAACCCCTCCAACTACCATTCCAGTTCCACAGGGTAGTTCCCAGTGAGACAAGCTGTACAATGACCATTGGTTTGAAAACATTCCAGACCATTCCCATTTTCTTGAATCATAATATTTTGCTTTTTCACTTTCTGTTTTTTTAATTTTATCTCTTGTTGTACAGATGAAACCAGTCCTTCTACTGACAGATATGCAACACTGTTTGCTCCTATAGGAGAAAAGGGGGAAAAACAAGAACTCATGAGACTTCCTTAGGGAAGGAAGATCTGGTTCAACAGACAATAATTACAAACATAAAAACTTAAGACAGGATAGAAATTTCTTCCTTAGTTTTTCTTTTAAAAGAAGGGGAAACATCAACATCAGGACCTTTTTTACTTTTTAAAGTCTTAACTAAGAATTTAGGGACAACATAATTTTAAATAGCAGTGAAAACTTCAAGTCTAGAATGGATTCAAAAGTCTCAGGAGTAATTTTCTTGATTAACAAAGATTTGAATTAAGGAAGATCTGAGTTCAAATTTAAGTTCAAGATCTTAAAATTTTCTAAGTCTATTTTTTTATCTACAAGCTAAGGAAAACACTGCCTAGCTCTAGAGTTTCTGTGATGTTATGATGATGATATAGGTATGTTCCTGGCAAAGAGTGCTCACAATATCCAATCCATCAGGATGATATTCAAAATATTTACCAGGTAAGTCATAAAAAGTCAAAAGCGACAATCACTAACTACCAAGGCACACTGGCTAAGTATCTATATGATGTATAGTTTACACCTCACCTGATTTTGAAAGTAAATGCCTTAACCAGGATAACCAAGATATCCAAGTCTCCTGACCTCATTACTACAGATAAGCCCACTTATGTTTTTTTATGTTTTAATCTGTACCCATATCCAAATTATTCTATTAGGATATGGGTAAATTATTTTAGTTTTTCTTGGGATCTGACTTTTGGGGTGACTTTAATTAATATGCTCGCAGTTCCCTCTCTCTGGAAAGCCTTTCTTCCTTTTTCTCTGATCTCACCTTGGCCTAGCTCTTGCTCACAGCACTTCCTTATAGTGTTTACACACAATAGACGCTCTTTACTATTAAGACAGTGTTGAAAATCTGTTTAACATGTACATCTACTTTTAACAAATACTGTTTTAATTTTTCATTAAAACTATAAAGACTGACAAGCTTTGAATTGTCTGTTAAAGATCAAGATAAAGTTTACAAAAATTTTAATACCTAGATATTCTGGAAGATGCTGAAATTCCGGTTTATTGGCAATAAGCTCTTCTTTTGTTGGTATGTTTATTCCCATAAAGCATGGATATCTAATTGGTGGTGAAGCTACTCGAACATGTACCTTTGAAAGGAATCATTTCACATATTATTTTTGCAAACCCATAGGTCTAATTTTATATTTCTCTAAATATATTTGGCTTTATTCAAGAAATGTGACATGCAAATTATCATGACATCAGTTTTTAATGGCTGCATTACTCATCATTCTTGGAGAACATACCCATGAAAAATGAAACATTCATTATTAAATACACATTCATTATTTTGACATTCACTGTAAGAAAAACTATGCAAAATTCTGTCACTGAAGAAATGCAACATAAAATTACAGAATATTTGAATCATACTTAAGCAGCCCTGCTCTAGACTCTAGCATATTCTGAACAAAAATTTCAACATATCAGCCACTTGTAAGGGTTTGTTTGTTTTTTTATTAATAACAAAGTAGCCTGTTGTCTTCTCACATCGCCTATGATTTTTTTTCTATCATTTTCTGCCTTTGGTCAGTAACAATTACATAGCTATAATTGGTGTCCACATTTATTTTTTACCTTTCTTATAATAGCAAAGATTTTCCCATGTTACATAACCTTCATAACTGTAGTTTTTAATGGCTGCATTATATTTCATTGTACTGGTGTACACTTTACTATTCACCCACCAATATATAGTAATTTCTAGTTTTGTTTTTATTACATAATTTTCACAGAATTCTAAAGAGTGAGATTAGCACAGTAATAAATAGCTGGAAAATGAATCATAATTAATACTAAAGATTTAAAGAGTGAAGTAATTATTTTGGGGTCTTATTTGCTTTTAATTAATTTCATAAAAATTTTAAACTTTTATATTGCTTTAATTTATAAAAGAATTTAAGTGTTTAACTGGCTGTTACATGTGTTCCAAGTTGCTATAGTTATTGCTAAACAAAGTTGATTTAACTTATGTTGAACCATCCATTCTGATTCCCTGCACTGAAATGCAACTTTTATGCCAGTATCATATTGTTTATTACTGACCCTTTGGGATACATTTTAATATTACTTACCTCTTTTGCACCAGACTCTTTGAGCAATTTTATTATGGGTGAGATGGTATTGCCTCTCACAATTGAATCATCTACAAGAACAATTCTTTTGCCTTTAAAGTTGTCGGACAATACTCCAAATTTTTTTGCAACACCAAGTTGTCTTAACCTCATGTTGGGCTGAATGAAAGTTCTTCCTACATACCGGTTTTTACACAACACCTCCACATATGGAAGGCTACACTGATAGAAAAAATAAAAGGACAATGAGCAGCAATACACAGAGAACTCTTGGTTCCTATTTTCTCCAAGTCACATAGTTGCTATTCTGGACTCCCTATCATAATCTGGACTCCCTATCAAACATATCCTCAGTAATTTTCCTTCACTATTTTTGAAAATTTTTAAAATCATTTTTATATGAGGTAATATTGGAATACCTCCATCAGGTATTACCGCCAACTCACCAATATTCTACCACCTCAGACCATTGTGCTTCTTACCCATTTTTTCTTTCCCTCTCTCTCCCCTTCTGTGTTAGTTCTGTAGTCAGCTATCAAGGTTAGTTTTTCAGCTTTCCTTCACTGAATTGTAGGGGTAAAAAGGTGAAAAGAAAAAAACAATTTCTTATGGTAAAACCTGTAATACTTCTCTTTTAAACAAACATTAGTTAGCTTGGAAGAGAACACTAAGCATATGATGATATGACACAGAACAAGCCACTGTCAGAAAAACTTACATATTGGAAAATTGTCAGCAAGAAAGAATTAAAACCAGAAAGCTAAGGAGATGCTTTGAGGAACAGGAGTTCTCAAAATTCCTCTAAAATTTGTGCATATTACTTAAAAAACAAAAACAAACTAAAAGAGTAAACTTTCCAACATAGGGGCTGTTGGATACCTTATCCCAGGATCTCTATATCTATAAAAATGAAATTAAGCATAGTACTAAGAACATTATACAATGTGAACATAAATGGCTTTATTATCATCTACATTTAGTAGGGGACAAATGTCCCATTGGCTTGTGGGGGTACCCCAAGAAGTAGATTTTAATTCTATACATATTCATGACATTATCTTTTTAAATGAAGAGATCAATCCTCTAGTCTTTGGGTCAATCTTCTGTGGGCTCAACTAAAATAGTCCCATTGAATTAAAAGTCTAAAAAATGTAATTCTGGTAGCCACCAATATTTCCTTTTCATTTAAAATAAGGGTCCCTATATAGGCAAGGATTTCTAATTCCAGGGACAGAACAATTCATTGCAGGATACGTAAGAAAATACCTTTGCTGCATAACCCAGAGCAGCAGGTGTAGCAGATTCTGGGACAGTGCTAACCATATCTGCATCCACAGGCGCCTCAATTGCCAGCTGCTGACCACAACGGTATCTTACAGTATAAACCATTTGGTCTGGAATATATAAAAAAAGATTATTTTAACATGATATAACTTAATATACAGTATAATTCAATATGGTATCATTATTCTAAAAAAGTAACTTGTCAGAATTCTATAGATTAAGTATAGAAATAAAACCAAGACATACAAAAACACTAAAGTGGGAACATAAACTCGGGAATTCACTGTTAAAAAAAAATTGATCTTGGGGCCTCCCTGGTGGCACAAGAGGTTAAATCTCAGCACTATGAAGCTATCCATGGCCTCTGTGGCACGAGTTCAATCTCCAGCCCGGGAGCTACCCACATAGCACAGCAGATCTCTCCTGTTTCACCCGCTGCTCCCCTCAGCAGTGTATTTCAGTGGATCTGCCTGTTCTGCTCCCCACCCTGTCTCTCCCCACTCTGTGAATCCTCTCACCCCCCACACCTCTGGCCTGCACCCCAGCTCTTGTATGCATAAATAAATAAATCTTTAAAAAAAATTGATCTTGATACACATTTGAAAATCATAAAAGAAAAACAAAGTCCAAGAGTCAGATGAAAAGGGAAAATAAAGATCCGTTGACTTGAGGCTCAGTCCAATTACCCTCAATATACAACTATGTGCCTTCAAAGACCAGATAAGCCAACCAAGAATGCTGTTTCAATAAGTAAGAGATTTATATCAATAGCTAAAGAAATCTAACTTACCTTCAAATATGCTATCTGGTCTTGCAAAATAAACATATTCAAAGATACAAAAAGCCATTGGGTTTCCTTCAGGTCTTGGTATAATATCAAGAGTTTGGACATTATATCTGGATATTTCCACAATTTCTCCAGGCAAGACTTCACGGTAATATCTTGGGGAACAATGTTGAAGAAAGAAAACTTTAAAAAAAAACAGTCCTTAAAGTTGATGATAATATCTATTATATGGTACACACATAAATACATACCCTCCCTTATAGAGGAAAACAGTTTTGCTTAATATAAAGCCCAGAGATGGCCTAAAAAATAAATAAGTAAAATTCCTCCAATAGTAATTTCTTTGAATCTGTTAAGCTTAAATTCCAATTTAGAATAATAATAATAAAGAAGCTCTAAGTTTTATTGACTTTGAAAGACTAAAGGCTATAGAGAACATTCTTATCCTGACTTTTTTTTTTCAAATATAACACCACTCCTTGTTAAGGAGATTCTGCCCTTCTAAAATAAGCCCCATGGTATTTTAGAAAGCAAGATGTGGGCCTCCCTGGTGGCCTAGGGGTTAAGTCTCAGTGCTATCAATGCTATCATCTAAGTTCAATCCCTGGCCAAGGAACTAACCCACATGTGGCACAGCAGACCTCTCCTGTCCTGCCTGCTGTTTCCCCTAGTATGTATTTCAGTAAAGCTTCCTGTTCTGCTCCCCATTCTGTCTCTGGTGAATCCTCTCACCCCCAGCACCTCTGGCCTACACCCCAGTTCTTCCACTAAATAAATAAATATTTTTTTTAAAAAAAGGATAGCAACATGCCAGTTTCAGAATTAGGAGGCATTACAGGAACATTAAAGTTAAAGTGGGGGCAATTGCTGTGCACAACGTACTTAACAAAATACATCTATAAATGTCTTCCTGTTGACAGAAGAAAATGTTCATGGAAAAAATCAAAAGAGGGGCCTCCCTGGTGGCATGGCAGATTGAGCACAGTGCTGTAAAGCTATCCGCAGCCTCTGCAGCCTGGGTTCAATTTCTGGCCAGCCAGGGAGATACCCACATGGCATAGCAGAACTCTCCTGCCTCACCTGCTGCTTCCCTCAGCAATGTCTTTGGTCCGTCTGCCTGTTCTGCTTCCCACTCTGTCTCTGGTGAATCCTCTCACCCACCCATGCCTCTGGCCTGTACCCCAGTTCTTGTATAAATAAAATAAATCTTTAAAACAACAACAAAAAAAAAATCAAAAGAAAAATTTTTAATCAATGCTAAAAAAGTTAATATGCTGAGTGAGATAAAACTTACCTTGCACCAATAGATAAAAAGCTACACGATTCTGAAGACACCACCCATCCTTCAGTTTCTGAGGATTTTTTCTCTGTAAATCACAAGATGAACAATTCCATTAATGGATATGAGAAATTTAGGCTTCTACTTATTCCAAAGAACAACAAAACACCAAATAGATGAATTTAAAAATCCACAGAATATCTATTTCTATGATTTTATGAACACATGAATCCTTATTTGACTTACAGCAAAGATAAAATGAATGATCCTAAGATTCCATCAAATGTTACAATTTCATTTCAAATAAGGTAGTTGATAAATAAGTCCAAACAAAATCATTAAAACCACAATGCAGAGGGCCTCCCCTGGTGGTGCAGCGGTTGAGCGCTGGGTTGCAAAGCTGCCCGCAGCCTCTGCAGCATCAGTTCAATCCACGGCCACTGGCAAGGGTCCCACATGGTGTGACAGACCTCTCCTGTCTTGCCCAAACTGCTCCCCTAAGCAGTGTGCTTCATTTTTCTGCCTGTCCTGCTCCCCGCTCTGGCTCTGGTGAATTCTCTCACCCTCCTGCGCTTCTGACTGTACCCAGTGCTTGTATAAATAAATAAATAAATCTTTAAAAAAAACAAACCAAAAGAAAAAAAAAACCATACTGCAGAAATGAAAAGGTTGGACAAAGGATATGAATAGCTAATTCAAACAGGAATAAACAGGAGTATCCATTAAATACATTAAAAGTGGCTCGTTCTGTAACAGGGTGGTCCCCAGGAAAGGGGGAGGTTCCAGGTTCCCTGCCCCACCCAAATGGAGGGTGGAGCTGACCAGGGAGAGAAGAAGCTGAAGAGAAGACTGAGGAAGGAAGGAAGCAGGATGGAGCCAGAAGGAGACCTGGAGGAGGTGCATGGAGCCTTGAGACACGTGAAGAAACTGTGCTTGTCTTTTGGTCATGGACTGGGTGACATAGATGTGGGTGAGACCCATGGGGAGGTGACAATGGTAGCTTTTATCTTGATTTTGATTTTGCTCGTTTCCTTCCAGGCTTGTCTGGTTGTTTCTGACCCTTTTCTGTGGGTCTCCACTGGAAGATGCTTTAGACTTGTGGCAGGCTTTGGGGCCTTGCTCTGGGCCAATCCCATTTGGATGGAGTTTTACCCACGAGGGGACGGGTAACTTTGGGTGCTTGATTTAGAAACTAGATTCTTTGCCTTTCCTGTATTGCTTCCTAGTTGTATTAAAGTTCCTTCCCATTAAAGTCTCATATGTTTTGTGTTGATGCGGCGGATGGCAGAACCCATTTAGAATAGGCAGGTTTGTGGGGTTTGGGCTGCCCTTCTCCCTGCCCTGTAACAATTCTTAGAAATACAAGGAAATCTACTTTAAAATTTAAGAAGTAATTGTTTTCTTTTTTTACCTAGCCCCCCTATCTAAAAGAATTAGGGTGTGCAAGCAATATGATGGTGAACCAGAAGCATTATGAATTTCTTTCTGAAGCTCATTACCTTTAGCATTTATATCAGAAACAGGAATAAGTCGACCAATGCAAAGAGGACGATTTCCATAAGGATCTCGTACTGCATAAATAACATTTCTGTGCATTATAAGCAGGGAGTATGCTGTGGGGGCTTCGTTCATCAAGTTTTTAATCCTGGAATTAATGAAATAATTAAATCAATTTCAGCTATAAACACATTACTAGAGCAGCAAGCTTAGCCTCGTTTTACAATTACCTTGCTACCCAGTCTGGGGTATCATCTTCTTCCTGAGGAGGGGTATATGCCAGTAACTGAGTAATCATTTCACTATCAGAACTAGTTGACAGACCAATACCACGACGCAGGAGCTATTCAGAAGGGAAAAAAGTTTATTAGAAAAGAAGCTCCACTTCACCCCTCACCCAATACCCAACCACGACAGAATTCTGATATGGATGTTCAGCCATGAAAATTCTGCATTCTACTAATGATATGTGTGTATAATAATAAAAAGCCATGACTGGAAGCAGTGGGAAGTCTCTGGGAAGTCTCAGAGGGAAAAATGTGCCTTGGGAGGTATATAGAAGTTTTTGAAAACTGAAGTAATATAGATATGCAATGGAGAAGAGAGTGAGGAAGAAGGCACGAAAATTTGTGGTTCTTATTCTACTTTGATATTCCTGACATATAGAACACATTCCCTAAGAGTGGCAACCTATGCTACACTAACTATAATGGGGACTTTTAAGTCAGGTTTGTTGGTGGGAGTGATGGTAGCTACCATCTTTATTGATTATCACTGCACTGACCCAGTGGGAGAAAGGAATTGCACTGAACAATTAAATGTAGATATACCAAAAACCTAGTTGAATGCACTCTGATGATTACAAAGTTCTGGGGCAAGACTTATCAGGACAAGAGCATGACTACAGAAATGTACAGGCTGACCTTAAACTGATAATACAGGATAATTTCACTAGGCAGTTAAAAGTATAGGGATGAAGTTTAGCATCTGGCTTAGGCTTTATGCCTAGAAATAATGAGTTACGGATTATTTGGAATTGAATTCTTTTTTTTTTTTTTTGTGGGACCCTTGCGGGAGGCCGGGGAACAAACCGGTGCTGCAGAGGCTGTGGGCAGCCTCACAGCCCAGCGCTCAACCGCTGCGCCACCAGGGGAGGCCCTGGAATTGAATTCTTAGTGGTTATCTCCAAGTGGTATCTTAGTAATTTTGATTTCCTATTTATACTTTTGGGATTATATGACTTAATCAAACATAGAAGGACAATGAGTGATTCCAGATATTTCCCACCCACCAGTTCCCCATTATTAAATTTTTCTAACTACTTATCCTATGGCAAAATGCCTGATTATAGAATGCCAGGGACATAACGGTGTGTGTATATGTGCGTATAACCATTTTATCATGAAATACCACCTGGTTTTTTATTTCTAAAGTTAGCCAATCAAGATTACTAGAATTTAATGAACTGAAAAAAGTTGGTTTCAATTAATGAACAGCAAGAATGGAAAAATAAGAAGCTATCAGGAATATAAAGACACCAAGTAACTTTTCTTTATCTTAAAGAAAGATGAAATAATGGTTGAAGGCATAGATATAAATTAACACGGAATGCTCCGAATAACATGATATGAACAAAAAGGAACATAGTAAATATAGTAAACTCTTTGCCCCTTTCCCAGGGTCAATTTCCTGTAATTATTTCTAAATCACTTTTTAAATTTATTTGTCATCTTCAAGTTTATATTCTATTTTCTTATGCTCTGAACACAGACAAAGGTAAAAGGACAGCAAGAATCTACAGACTTTGGGCCTCCCTGGTGGCGCAAGGGGTTAAGCACCGCACTATGAAGCAATCCGCAGCCTCTGCAGCACGAGTTCAATCCCCGGCCAGCCAGGGAACTACCCACATGGCGCAGCAGACCTCTCCTGTCTCGCCCGCCACTCCCCTCAGCAGTGTATTTCAGTCAGTCTGCCTGTTCTGTTCCCCACTCTGTCTCTGGTGAAGCCTCTCACCCCCACCCCACACCTCTGGCTTGTACCCCAGTTCTTGTATGCATAAATAAATAAACCTTAAAAAAAAAAAATCCACAGACTTTCATTTCTCTGTGCTAATAGCAACTGGAAATCATTTTTTCCAAATCTCTAAAGGAATGCATTACAATCACTTCAGGAGCATATAAAATACAAACTCAAGACACTCCCCTCTGCCCCCACCAAATCTGACATGGTATCTTTCAATCTGCAACTGTAAGTAATTCAGGTAACTGGATAAAGTTGTTCTTTGAATTTAGATAGAAGGTGGCAACAATTAAAAAAATATTCTTTACCAAGATCCTAAACTGGTATTAAGGGTAACTTCTTTTCATTAATTTATCTTAATCACAAATAAAGTATTAAAAACACTTACCTTTTTCCTTAGTCGAGCAGCATTTACCAACTCGCCATTATGTGCCACAGCTATTTTCCCATGAAGTGTTTCAACAACAAAGGGCTGACAATTCTCTAATTCACAGTTTCCTGTAGTAGCGTACCTTGTGTGTCCAATTCCAAGATTTGAAACATACAATTTCTTCAAATTGTCTTCAGTAAAGACGTGATTTACAAGACCCATCCCCTTACAAAGTCAAAAATAAAAGCTCATCTCAGGAAAAAATAAGACTTGTAATGCCAACAAAACACTCCTAAATTAAAAGTCCCTGTTCAGACAATCCCAAATTAGACCACATAGTTTACATAGTATCTCTGTGCTTCAGAATTTCTAATCTCCATAAGTAGAAAGGGGGGAAAGTGAGGGGAGAGTCTAACCTAACTGTAAGAATTGTGAATCACTGAGATTAAGGAAGATTCATAAAATAAAATTAACCATTATAAAGTGAATAATTCAGCAACATTTAATACATTAACAATATTGAAGCACTTGTTTTAGAAGATATTTTTCATTGAAACATTGAAGAACAGATGTACTAAGTAATAAAATTTACCAAATATAAACTAAATTACTTGTATTAAATTTAAAAAGTATGTCAAACTATTTAAATAAAGAAATGATTTAAGTCAGCTAGCAAACTATCATCCGGAATAAAATTAATCCTAATAGGACAAATGCTAGAATATAAAGTTAGAAACAGCTGGTTCGAAGAACATAAGTTCTAAATGCAAATTATGTGTTCAAGTCTCTTCCCCCCACAAGCTGAATACTACCCACACATACAATTATCTGACTATTGGTATATTTATAAGTCAGCATTTTTCTATGCTCAAAATACCTTGTGAGTTTTGAATGTTGGCACTGAATTTCCATCACTGGTTACAATGCCAGCACTTTCCTGACCCCTGTGAATATAAAAAAGGTATCAACTGTAAAATCTAACATTAAGTTTTGTAATGAACTTTATGAAACACACTTCTCTCAAAAGCAGCCATAAACTCAGGCTGACAACACATTAAATCAACTAGCACAAGCGGCGCGCCTACTCACAATGATGATTAACAAAAGCAGATTATATTGTGAGTTCTAAGAAAAGGCCAGGCATTGGCTTTCACTCATAATCCTGTAAAACAGGTACTATGATTACTATTTCCATTTTACAGAAAAGGACACTAAAGAAATGGAAGTTAAAAATCTTGCCCTTTACAGCTATAATCACTGTAAAAAATCTGCTGATGTACATGAAACTGTAACAGGGTGGTCCCCAGGAAAGGGGGAGGTTCCAGGTTCCCTGCCCCACCCAAATGGAGGGTGGAGCTGAGCAGGAAGAGAAGCTGCAGAGGAGACTGAGGAAGGAAGGAAGGAAGCAGGATGGAGCCAGAAGGAGACCTGGAGGAGGCGCATGGAGCCTAAAGACACGTGAAGAAACTGCGCTTGTCTTTTGGTCATGGACTGGGTGACATAGATGTGGGTGAGACCCGTGGGGAGGTGACAGTGGCAGCTTTTATCTTGATTTTGATTTTGCTCTTTTCCTTCCAGGCTTGTCTGATTGTTTCTGACCCTTTTCTGTGGGTCTCCACTGGAAGATGCTTTGGACTTGTGGCAGGCTTTGGGGCCTTGCTCTGGGCCAATCCCATTTGGATGGAGTTTTACCCACGCGGGGACAGGTAACTTTGGGTGCTTGATTTAGAAATGAGATTCTTTGCCTTTCCTGTATTGCTTCCTAGTTATATTAAAGTTCCTTCCCATTAAAGTCTCATGTTTTGTGTCGATGCGGTGGATGGCAGAACTCATTTAAAATAGGCAGGTTTTGGGGGGGTCTGGGGTGCACCTCTCCCTGTCCTGTAACAAAAATACCAATAAATAGTATCTCTGGGGCATGAGATTATAGGTGAGGCTTTGTCTCCTGTATCTTAATGATAAAAAATAAACGTGTACTCTTTCTATAATAAAAAAATAAATAAAATCATTATAATAAAATAAATGGTTCCAATTGCTGACAATTTTTAATAGTTCTCAAAAAACACTATAAACACTAAATATTTAATAATAAATTCATGTTCTAAAGAATATTTACAGGGTAGAAATCTATGTTACAATAATTAACACATTCATTCGGTAAAAGGGATCTTTTTCAAACTTACATAACTGTTTACACATTTTAATTGCAAGAAAAATTACATTAAATCTATCTGCAAAGTAAAAATATAAAAAATAAAATGGAAATTTTACTAAATTAGCAATGCTTTAAAATCTCTGAAAGTAAACAGGCCTAACACTATCCACCCTGTAATACTAAGTAATTCATGACTTTTGATTTATTTAGTGAAATGATGTGCTCTTTAAGTTAACATATGCTTGAGGACAAGTGATTCATATCAGATGAAAAAAATATTAAATTAACCCTAACCCTTAGGGCAGAAAGAACCTCTGCCAACGAGTTCCAAAACAATTTTTTAAAAGCAACGATGACCTGGCAAACCAGAATATATTATGTAAGAAAAGATACACACACACACACACACAAATAATTTTCTTTCCTTTTTGTCGCAATGGTACTTTTTCTTTAAAGCTGAAATCAGAATAAAGTTAAAGAATCATTTAGGTCCAAGCTTCTGTAATCACAAAATCTGCTCATTTGGCAGTTTCTCAAGTTACTCCCCTCAGGCAGCTTGAACCAGTTAAACTAGATCCTTTCAGCTCCTCTGAGCTTATTGACAACCAGCCTCTGGTTTCCTAGGAAAAAGAACCTTGGCTAGAAATAGTGAATCATTTCCAGGTCACTTTCAACATGGAGCATGCAGCAGGAAAGCAATGGACTGAAGTAGAGGTTAAAGCTTTGCTAAGTGTATGGGCAGAAAAAAATATACAAAAACAACTTTATGGAACACTGAGAAATAAAGGAATATTTATTTACATTGCTAAGAGGCTGCAAGCACTAGGAGTATATAGAGATTGGAAACAGTGCCGGGCAAAGTACAAAAATCTCAAATATGAATACCGAACAGTTAAATATGCCCACAATTCTGGAGACAGCTCTAAAACTATGAAGTTTTTCCATGATTTGGATGTGATCCTGCAGTATCAACCTGCTACACAAATAACAGAGGAAGATGCAAATGGCAGGTGCCTGGCAACGCTGAATCAAAGTACAGCCCCAGAGGCCACTGAAGGTAATAAGGAAAAGTACCATTCTTTTGTTTTTTCCTAACAAACTATAAGAGGTGGGTCTTCTGAGTCCATACAATAAATATAGCCTGAAATAACAAGGTCGAGAAAAATTACTGACCTGCTATGGTATTTTGCAGGAGGTAAAAAATTAATTTTGAGAGAGGTTAATTTAAATACCATCAGTTTTTAAATCTGTAAAATACAGGAGGAAAAAACATGACACTAACTGCTAGTGACATATGCTCCTTGAGCATATCTGATTTGTTTTTGCAAAATGGGTTGGGTTTAGAAAATAATTTTAGGTTTTAATTTATGAGTAATTGTGTGTATACACATACACACAAACACACACACATCTCAATTGTTGTTTTCCCACAGCTCTAAGGAAGACATAACTTTCTGCTGTATATCAATGTTCCCATTCTCCTAAATTTAAAATATCAAGAACTGAAACACATCCTTATTACTTGTTTGGAAGAACAGTTCCATTTAAATAAAGATGTAAAACAAAAAACAGATATAATAGATTAAATAATGTGGGTGTTTAAAACCCAGCACTATTTACATAAAATCTGCCTGCAGTTTGCAGAAGTCAATGCATCACTAGGTAAAGTGAGTAAATCAATGAAAAATATTCAAGTTAAGTCTTACAGATGCTATTTTTAAGAGCAGAGTACTCAATTCAAAACTCTTGTATCAGTGCAAAAAAAAAAAAAATGAGGTACAGGCTTTCAGTGAAGTGTATACTCAGAAATGAGGGACCCATGACTAGATGTAACACCCAAGAGAAAATGGTGTTATAATAAAAGTACCAAATTAGAAAGGAGTTAATGACAGATTATAGATGAGTTCATCTAGATTCTCTCAACTTTTCATTTAAACCTCAGTAAGATATTTAGTAAAGAAATCTACCCCCTTACACATTCCCTTCACATTTCTGATACTATAGCAAATTCTGAGAAAGGTTTACAGTCATTACCATACTGAATTGTATTATCTTGTTCAGTTAATCACCCGGTCATCTTTATCACTTACATGCTTTAAATGTTTGACATATCCTTGACCCTAGTTAGTAAGTCCTTTAAAAAAAATCTGCAAGTTTCATTTTGTCTCTGCTCCATTCCCATTACCACTATCAAGAACTTCATGTAATACTAAGATAACCTCTTAACTCCTATCTCCCTTTGCTTCCAGTCCCTGCCCATACATCTTCTACAATGTTACTAGTTGTTCATTAAATCTTTTAAATTATAAAACTACAAGCATATTTTATTTGCATTAAAATAATCTTTAAAGATTTATTTATTTATTTATACATACAAGCACTGGGTACAGTCAGAAGCGAGGGAGGGTGAGAGAATTCACCAGAGTCAGAGGCTTTAAATTATACCCAGAATTAATCAAAATTTAGGATTAATGCCACTTTTAAATGGTTCTATAATAGTGCATATAATAGTTTACTACAAATGTTGCAGAAATCAATAACTTTCACCCATATTTAACATTATTTCTTTAGAAATATCAGAAGTTCAATTATTAGTCAAGAGGGGGGTGTAGGGTAAGTGAAAAAGCATCAGGCTTTTCTGCCCTCCTGCCATTAGGATTGATGTTGGATCCCTGCGGTCCTGAATACATGCCTGATGGCGGGCACCGGAATAGGGTGTGGGCATGTGTAAGTGGGTACACCTGTGCTGAGAGACTGGGCTTATAAGGGCAGGGTCACGGGGACGCCAGAAGGAGAACCACAGGAGAAGCAGGAGAGCAGAGAAGCAGAGAGAATGCGAGAGAAGGCCGGAGAGCCCAGAAAAGAGCGAGGACTTAATGGCCCCCCTGCCTGCCGTGTACCTGGTAAAATCCCAATAAAAGCCTGCAAAAGCCACTGAGGGGCTCCAGGACTCTCTCCTCCCCATCTGCTCGGGTTATAGAGAACCTGCACTGTGCCCATTCCTGCCCTTACAGGGGGTATGATCACTATTGCTAAAGTATTGCTAAACATACTGCTTTCCAAAAGAACTTCATAACAACAATGTCCCTTTTATAGAATTGTGTCATGAGAGAATATGGAGTAGAATAGGAGGGGGAAGAGAATAAGTAATTTACTGAATTATGGAGTATGCAATCAATAATTATTTACTTTACATTTGCTAATTATTAGTGATGTGGAACATCTGTGTATTTATGGACTTTTACAAATTAACTGTTCATGTCAATCAGGGTCTAGAAATTTCCATGACCTGTTCTGCCTTCCAATTTTTGCCTATTTTTATTTGATGCTCAGAACTCAAGTTTTAAATGTAATGGAACAGTTTCTGTTCTAAGGCTTAGAAAACCCTCCTTTCTGCAAGGCTGATCCACTTACAATATCTTCTGGTTTTCCTATGGCGGAACTAGCAGAATTTTTGCTGGTGTATGGGAGACTGAGGGAAGAAAATGAATGTGCCTTTTCTACTGCTGGGATCAACCAGCCCAGGGATCCCGTGTTAGGCAACAGGTAGCCTCAGTAACCTGAGCAAAGAACCCAAATACACACGGTGTATAAGACTTCATGTTCTGGTAACTATAAACATCTTCAACCTTCAGAATACTTTGGACTAATGAAGCCATTTCGCATTCCTTTAATCACCAAGTTTCCAGTCTGTTTCCCACCTCTTTATATAAAATGCCCAAGAGCAATTATTTAAGAGCTTCCATTTACAGGTTATCTTCAGCTTCAGGCCCTTTTCTATGGACATGA